CCCTAGTACCAATGACAAGTTGTCTTCCAATCATCTTATATATAAAAGAAGAAGGAATTCTCTCCAAAGAGCGACACGTCATCATTCCATGAAATGACACGTGTCACCTTAAAAAAAAAAAAACAAATCACATCTTTTCATCTTCTCACCTGAACCGATCCACCTTCTGTAATTTTTGATCTCCTTTTCCAGAAACGTTTACTCCTTCGAATTGATTCCACTGTCCTTAATGTATTTTATATCCACTCCATTTATACCCTCTCTACTATGAAAAACATATGAAATCCGATTCTTAAATTTTTGTTTTCTTCTTCATCTTCTCAATTGCTGTCTCTTTTATCTGGGTTTTGTTCTTTGATTTTTTTAAAGGAGCTTTGTTCGTCGTGAATGGTTTTGTTGTTTGAAGCGCTTTTCATTGTAAAGTTCAATCAGTACATTGTTTTAGAAAAAGCTGCAAACTTTGTGAATCGAATATGATTTATAAGTCCCTTATCACTATTTGCTTCAAGTTTCCGATAACAGCGATGGGTGATTGAAATTCTGAAGAAGCTTGTTAAAGAGGCTTGAATTTTGATATTTAGAGTTTTGTGGCTTTTTGTCTCTCAACAATTAAACTCTACACCAGTCCTATTGCGCACCTTCTTGAAGATCAGAATCCCTTTTATAAACCGAATAAAGGAAAGCCAGTTTTTGGCCACCATTTTCTTGGAGTTGAAGAATTCATCCCATAATTTGGCAATTCATATTGTGTATCTCATAATGCACACACTCATAGATTGGTCGACCTCTGAACAGTACTGGTGGTTCATTTAGTTCCTTTTTCAAATATTACCAGCAAAGCAGGTATATAATTCAGTACAGCTTATAAATTTTGGTTCTTTGATTTTTTTGTTTGTCAGCCCTCATGTCGTTGTTTTGCAGAGTGCTCATTATTTCTTAAATGATTACATACACTGGATGTCTTATCCTGTTCTTATGATTCCAGGTGATGATGCTTTGACAGCTTGTCGTATTGCAAGCCAAGTGCATATTGTATCCTCCTTTCATAGTTTCATCTATATGATTTTCTTTGTGTACTCAATATTGTCATAAATCACGTAACTTTTGTATGTGGATCTTCATATAAAAGACATGGCAGTAAAAGCATCATGTGCTTATAAAGGCTGCAAACCATGATCGGGGTCGTCTCACGGAAATACATGGATTCGGATGCTGCAGCTTCTGAGAGGTTCCATAATGCGTACAAGAGAGCTCGAAGCGGAAGCTAAAAAAATTGAAGATTCTGGGAAAGGAAATGGAGTTAAGGTTGCAAGGGCTTTTGAATGGCGAAGGACCAACTGAATCCATGAGTGGCAGGACAGAGTCCACAGTGTTGATGGAGGAAGAGGATGAGCCCAAAGAATGGGTTGCTCAAGTGGAGCCTGGTGTCTTCATCACATGTGTATCATTGCCTGAGGGAGGGAATGATGTCAAGCGATTCGGTTGAGGTCATTTATCTGTGCTCTGTAGCATTTTCACAAAAAAAATAGGATCCTAAACTGAATCAGATTAATAATTTATGTTTCTGATAGTACTAATAATCAGGTTAATCATAAAACACTTTGTACTTAATCCATTGTGTTTTTTATTGGATTTTCTAAATAGAGATGTGTGTTTCTTAGGGACAAGCTATGAGAAGTACAATTGGTATTAAAGATGGTATTTGTGAAAGATTTCTGTTTTCGTTACTTGCAATTTTTCTTGAATTTATTTAAAATGGTCCCCAAACACTTGTTGTATGTGACAACCTGTACATTTTTGCCAATAAAGATTTTTGAGATGTGGATTTGTATTTCGGTAGTCCAATTTGATCTTAAATGGATTCCCCAAGAACAGTTGTGTTTGGGAAGAGTTTGGTGAGTTTAGCAAATTCATTTTGTAGATGCGATATCTATGAGAGCAGCATGATCTAACAAACTTTCTTCATGCTCTCATCAAATAGGGACGCTTTGGCCCACAGTCACAACAAGTGAAGAAAACATATCACAACTTAACACTAATTTGCCGGTTCTAGCCAAGATCTGCACTCTGATTAGCTCTTGAAAGTAATTTTTCATGATGTTTTGGTTTATGTTAAATTATAGCTCTTTTAATTCGCATGTATAACTCTGATTCGTCCTATGTTTCATTTTACTCAGAAATTGGCCGCAATACAAGCACGGTGACTTCAAGATGACGGCAAGAAGCACTATTTTTTGGAAAGCAAGTCGAGTAAATAACGTTCTGTGCAGCGCATGAGCCTGCGTGCAAGCGATTGGCATCAGATTCCATTCTGGTCTCAGCCAATTGGCAGGCCGTTTATGAGCTGTGGAAAGAAAGACTTCAACATTCGCACTTGGATACAACTCTTTAAATCAAAACTGATAAATGGATGGGTTGTAAGTTGTAACATAACAGGGAGAAAGCTTTTACATACCTTAAATCCCACAAGCTATTGAATTGTTGAGAAGTAAGATGTTGGTTAATGAAAAATGAAAGTGCTCAAGTGATTGTTCTTGAAGGTGTAGCTAAGCCACTCATGGTTGTGAAGAGTGATGGTGGTTATAACTATGAGACAACGGATGGTGGATTTACTTTCAATGTTTTTTTTTTCTAAAAATCCTGATAAATTGCAGTGTATATGTTTGTACCGAAGTGTATGGCTAAGCTTCATGATGCTTGGTTTTATGTGAAATTTTGTTATTTTGATTCTAACTTATAAATCTAATTCTTCGTAGCTTTCATTTTACTTTGAATCGACGAAAAGCAAGATCGAAACAAATAAGTGCGAGTCTTCTCGGCTCTGCCTCTCTTCCATGAAAGCCACAGACAAGGTAAGCGGTGGCCTCAAAGGATATGTTAATAGGAATGAATAAGTGGGATCTTTCTTCTGTTTCGTTGCCTGATTCATGTCAACATGTCAACAAGAAGTCGCCTTACGCAACACCGTTATGGTATGCATTTGATTACATACGGTTGTAGTTTTTTAAATGCTTATCTGTTTAAGTTAAAAATATTTTGTATACCAATGATAATATAAAGTGATTTGATGGAAGAAGAATGCTCAAAGTGCAAGCCACTATTTTTTTTTATAACTGTTAGATTGTAGTTAGTTATACTAACAATAAATTGGTGTATCTCTTGCTCGAAATGCAAATATATTGACTAACCTACCTCTCACGTAGTTGATCAGCCAGACAATATATAACTAATCCTCAGTCAACATGGAGAAGAGGATGTCATCAGGAAGGGGAAATTCTTCAGAGCTGCCACTGCGGCATCACCCAAACCATGCAACTGCTGCTGCGGGTACAGGTCGAGGCATATATGAGACAAGATATGGGATTGTTCATTCGATATCTTGAAATTGGTCTACTTTTCTCTCTCTCTTTTATATTAATTTTCAGTCAGCATATCATTACAAATTTAAAACAAAACTAATGATGTATATTACAAATACACTTTGGCCAAAGATGTTCTTGAATCTCTTTTTGATGATTTCGGTAAGATTCGTTTGCTTAAATTCATGCTTTAAAATCATTTTATTTATTTATTTATGTTACATGATTTTGGAAGCATCTAATAATATCTAACATAATTTTCTTTCTTTTTTGTGTGGAGAATAAGCTTTCACATTAGTTCCAAATTTCTACAACTTATTTATTGTTCGTTTTTTCCTTTGTGTGATATTGAATGTTTCCCTAGAGAGACTTTGATTTCCGTAGTGTTATCTCCACCTTTCGTATGGTTCCATATTACTCTTTGTGAAATTTTCAAAACACAAACTCTATAAAATAAGTTTACACTTATGAAGAAAAACCTGTGCGGGTATTGGCCTAGAAATTATCAATATAATTTTCATTTATTAAAACAAAACAATTTGATAAGACAATCAAGGGGTTATTTAAAAAGAAGCTTCACTATTTTACAACCCAATTCAATTTGATAATTATTTATTTATAGCAATAAAACTGAATATAATGTGTACATATTGGCTCATATGATATACAATTTGATTTAACAAAAAAAACAACAAAACAAATTCTAAACAAAAAAACAAATTAAGAGTTATTGGAAAAAAACCGCGCGTATGCGCGGGTACTCACCTAGTTATCATATAAAACCCAACCAACTCCAGTCTCTTGGTCTCTAGAAACCCAAGAATCATCCACAAAATAACATAAGTGATTTGCATTATGTAATATTTGCTGCATATCAGTGGTCAAGCAACCCATCATTATAAAGCCAACGCTCTTGTGTGAGTGATGAAATTGGATTATTTACCACTAATGCTTCCATCCATAAATTAAGATGGCTTCAATCTTATTTTTTGATAGTTGATGAATTGTATAAACTTGAAAGGATTTTTTTTCCTGGAAAAACCAAAATAAGAAGATTTTTGTTTTCTTCATATGTTTATAATTCTACATGGAAGAAATATTTACATTAACCATCAATTTCCACTTATTACTATATATTTCCTCTTGTTTTTTTTATCCCTTTGATTGTAATATTCACGAACAGCTTTATATATATATATATCATATATGTTGTATTGGCATCAGTATTATCAATTTGCATCAGAATACATCTCTACTTGTCCACTAGCTACTACGGCGTGAAAAATGCCAAAAGAAACCGTATTTAAACATTCGCACAAAAAAAACCGTATTTAAACAAATAAAAAAAAGTACAACTACAAAAGATCAATTAAAATTTAAGAATTATATAGGACCCAAAGAGTCAAAAATACACTCGTCTTTCAATTTTCATAACTACACGATTTGGTTAACTTTCTTAACGAGATTAAAAGTGGAATGCGTAATAAATAACTCTAAATACTTTAGGATTGCTTAAATCCTGAAAGGGAATCCAAATTATCCAATTAAAAAGGATGTAAAAAAAATAAAATTATCCATTTAAAAAAATTGAGAGGAAATGAAAAATTGTTAGATTCAGATCTCATACGAAATATACAAAAAAATAATCTAAGGGTTTGGTATGGTTTAGTTCAGTTGGGTTATAAAGGCTCCAAGCTAAACTTCATCGTTTCCTCTCCACCAAGTAGTGAGTATCTCTTTCTTTCTCTCTTTCTCCGCGGAATCTCTTTTTCTGGTTGCGTTTGAGTCCGAGAGATGGCGGAGGAGAAGAAAGTTGCTCCAATTGGTATCTGGACTACTGTGAAGCCCTTCGTCAATGGCGGTGCCTCTGGTATGCTTGCAACTTGCGTTATCCAGCCGATTGACATGATCAAGGTATGTAAATGTTTCTGGATACACGTCTATGTATCAGCATATTCACGTAGAAGCTCGTTTTAAGTAGAATTCTTGCTTGATATGCTGATACTTGATATCCGCGAAATCTGTAAATGTGTTCATCAGATCCGACTCTATGGATTTACTTTTTTTCTCAGATCTGGTTTTCTTTGTACTATCGAATTTTAATTCTCGGAGCTTGTTCAGACTCATTTCTGTGTGGACTGTTGCTATTGATATGTTCAGATCTGGATTTTGATTAGAATAATGTTCTTAGTGCATCGCATTTACAGTCCTTTGCTTGTGCTCATAGGATTTTGAATAATGTGAATCTAATGAGCTAAATACTTCTTTCTGGTGGCGTAGGTGAGGATTCAACTAGGTCAGGGATCTGCAGCCAGTGTGACCACGACCATGTTCAAGAATGAGGGTATCGGTGCCTTTTACAAGGTATATATTATTTTTGGATTTTGATTAGATCTATCTTGATGCATTTACTTGTTTTGAAGAGACATGATTTTATGTAGGATGTTTTCTATTGGTATTCTGGTGTTGATGTTCATGAGGAGTTTATTTATATGTTCATGTGGTTGATCTGTAATGTTGTATATATTGATGATCTGATACTCAGTAGATTTCGTATCTAAAACAGTCTTGTCTCTTTCTTGCTAACTACAACATTAGCTTCTCTCCGTTTCTGCTATGAAGATGTGCCCTGAACTTATTTGACTCAAATTTTTCCAATAGGGTTTATCTGCTGGTTTGCTGAGGCAAGCAACTTACACCACTGCCCGTCTTGGATCATTCAAGTAAGTTAATCATTTGTGGGTTACCTTGAGCCCATACAGATGAATACTTTCTTATTGCCTCCATAGTTATATGTAAATCATCCTCTCCCATTTGCTGTACTAATCAAAGAGTGTTATTATGAGTTATCAGGTTGCTGACTGCAAAAGCAAGTGAGGCAAATGATGGGAAGCCACTACCGCTGTATCAGAAGGCTCTTTGTGGTTTGACAGCTGGTGCAATCGGTGCTTGCGTTGGTAGTCCAGCCGATTTAGCGCTTATCAGAATGCAAGCCGATAATACTTTGCCGTTAGCTCAGCGCAGGAACTACACCAACGCCTTCCATGCGCTTTACCGTATTAGTGCTGATGAAGGAGTTCTAGCACTTTGGAAAGGTTGTGGACCAACTGTGGTCAGAGCAATGGCTTTGAACATGGGAATGCTTGCGTCTTATGATCAAAGTGCTGAATACATGAGAGATAATCTTGGTCTTGGGGAGACATCTACGGTCGTAGGTAAGCTGCCCTTCCGAGTCTCTCATACAGTTATATTTTTTCTACTACGCCTTCAATAAATGTATATAGCAGTTAGAGTCAAGGATTCACAGAATCGTCTTGGAAATTTATATTTACAGCTTGTAGTCTACTTGATTACACGAGTGTTGTGTTGTCATAACTAGTTAGAAGGCATTCTCCTTGCTCCTCATCTCTCAAATAACCGTAAGGTGTATTGCTGAGCTGGCAAAACTACATTTCTAGACTAGTTACAATAGTTCTGCACTAAACTTAATAATTAGGCCTAATTAGTTTTTGACTTGTGGTCATGTAATTCCTATATTTCATTTACGTTTATAGATCTCTCAGCTTGGTAGTTATGTGATTTTTGTTCCCTTTGGCAGGAGCAAGTGCTGTTTCCGGATTCTTCGCTGCGGCTTGCAGTCTGCCATTTGACTTTGTCAAAACTCAGATCCAGAAAATGCAACCCGATGCTCAGGGTAAATATCCATACACGGGTTCGCTCGACTGTGCCATGCAAACCTTAAAAGCAGGAGGACCTCTCAAATTCTACACAGGTTTCCCTGTTTACTGCGTCAGGATCGCCCCTCACGTCATGGTATAACTACAATCTTTTCTTATTCTTTTTTTTTTACTTCTAGCTTGTTTCTGAGATCGTTAAATGATCTTGTTTTCTTTTTGGCAGATGACATGGATCTTCCTGAACCAGATTACAAAATTCCAAAAGACCATTGGGCTGTGATCTTAATACAAACATTGTCAAGTGCGCGGCAAAAATAAGATGAGAAGAACGAAAACGCAATTGGAATTGTGTTCATTTCCTTTTTTTTTTAATCAAATAACTAAAGGCATTATTGGAGGTGTTTGAGACTTAAATTTTTTTTTTTCTGTTAATGGTCGTTGATTGGTCCGTGAACTTCAAAATTTTCCTCTTGATGTTCAAAACAAACAGATACCAGAGAATTTAAGACTTTATTATTAACTATCAAAATTACAATTTCCGTTAAGAAGTAAAAATGGATGATGATGTTGGGTAGCAAAAGGTTGAATTAAATAAAGTACTCAATAATGTGACATGACAGAAGTGCTTAAGAACAAGCTTGTTTCTACATAAACAAAATGTCATGAGTAGTGTCCCAAATATTCGTTTGAAACACCAAACATGTGCATCAGCAGACAAGAACCCTGCCCCAAAACTCTGCCGATTACAATCCCACAACACCTGTAGGTAAGAAACTTGCCTACTTCGGAGCAACTTCTTTGTGAGCTTTGAATGATAAAATCACATTCCAAGCCAAAGCCACTACGTTCGAAGCGAGTACCTGCAATTCAGATATAAAACATTGAATCATCCTACGAGCCAGTGAACAAACTCTACGCAGAACGCTGAATTACACCTGGTACCAGGAAAATCTTGCTAAGCCTATATAAATGATGATGCAGAGAGCTATAATGTCATTTAAGTGTGATTCCTTTCCTGCTCATTAACAAGTGCTCAACAATATGAAACCGCCTAATAATTTCTAGCTGGATGATGACGTGGTCAAAGATTATACTAAGTAGAGGATTAAGACATCAAAGAGAGAAACAGAGTGTGTGGGCCATTATGTTTGAAGCATATCATTCTTTCACCGAATTGTATTTTTCACACACCCATCTCATGTTGTCACAGAGTTTGGCAATCAAACCTGGAAGTTTTGTGGAACAAATCTGAAGTTAAGAAACTGGAATGGTATCCATAGTTGCCAATTTGCTAGCACTGCACCAATCCACTCCTACACAACCAGCAATTCATAGATTTCAATCAGAACACCGATAAAAAGATACAGAGTATCAAATTTAGGTTCCTGCAAAATGCTTTCCCACCCTGCACAATGCAAAAAACATTCTCTTGGGAATTAAAAAAAAAAGGTTAATTGGCATTAAAATCAACCTGCTTTAGCTTTGGGATGACATGCGATGGTTTTCCTTCAAGTGTCACAACAGCTGATAAGAAAACTCCAACAAAAACAGGAGCAAAAAGAAACTGCAAAAACAAAAAAGTTGGTGTTAACAAAAAGGAAGCAAAGATAGGAACATGAATATTAGTCGAAAAATAGGAAATTTTGCTACCTGGTCTAGTAAAAGTCGCAAAACTGCGCCTGATAATCCGGAAGCTGTCACCACTTTGCTCAAATACAAGTACCTAATGGAGTTGCGAGATTTCAGAGAGCAAGTAGAGAATAAGCACAAGTAATACGACCTTATGTGTCATCAATGGATGCATTAAGTCTCTTCAAATGAGCAACCACTTAGCAGAAAAGTAAAATAGCTTTGACGGTGTCATACGAGCACGCGAGGAAAACAATATAACACATAAAAAAATTACAGTCCGTGGATATACCAGAAGTGCAATGCTGGACCGACTAGCCCCAAGCCCAAGACGGTAAACGTGAGTGTCCTCTTCTTGTCCAAAGATGAGGTCTTATTGATTGTAAGCTAACAACCAAGGGAAACAAGAATAAGCAATCTTGTTTTTTTTCAATAAGAGGTTTTATATGAATACTATGAATCCAAACTTCAAAGATAAGTACTGATAAGCACACCAACAAGAGAGTTACCTGGCAGATCAAATCTCCAATGAGGGTCAAGATTGCTGACGTCACAGCTTTGGTCAAAACAGGATAATCTGAGAGAAGAGCCAGGTACCTGAAAAACCACAGAAAATCAAGCCAAAACACAATACAATGTGTATATATGTTTAATTCAGCAAGGAGTTATAGTAAAACAGAGTTTTGTGAGTACTATTAACAACCATGAGAATTTCCAATGTCGGATTATGAAAATGTTTAATTTTGAAAGAAACGATATTTACACAAGAAAAGAGTAGAGAGGGGAAGACGTAAGAGTTTTTTACCATGAGAGAAACGACCACATGTTTCCGTTCCCGCCGCTACCTTCACCTCCCCCGCCGGAACCATCACCACCACCACCACCTGAACCACCAATCCCGCCGGAGCCACCTGAACTTCCACCTGAGACCGAAGAGACCCGACCCAGATGCCCAAACCCAGTCCCTGAACGTCCAGACCAATTGATACGACCACAATTCAGTGAACCTTTTTTGTACCCAAACGCAAGAACCCTGCTCGAACCAGCTTCAGCTAGAGTCATTCGATTGAAATACGAAGTGTGACTACCGGAAAACCCATGAGAATTGGACAAGAGTGGTGTTTTCCGGGTAAGAGTGGCGGGGCTAAGCATCGTGGTTTCGTCTGGTCTGTCTGATACTTTAACTTAACGGTGCCTGTCGCACTTGGGATATGACTGACTATTCGTGGTGGAAAACCATGAAAACGAGCTTCTGGTAATGTTTTGGGCTTTAGTAATGGGCTTTTTATGGGATTTCATATGCAATGGGCTTCTTAAAGAAGAAGTGGACGGAGCAGTGTAAGGAAGATTACGAAAAAGAGTTTTAGGAATTTCATGAAAACGTAAAAAAAAAAAACGGAGCTTAGCATTGGATAGAAAAGTAAACATTAAAAAAACGAAATTTGGGTTTAATGTTAAACAACTGAGGAAAACATAGTTAAACTTATTTGGGTTTAATTTTTACAAAGAGTCATAGCATTTGACTTTGGTTGAACAACAGAGGAAAACATATTTACATTGTCTTTCAGTATCTAATCCAACATTGTGCTAGAAGCAACATGAGCATTCTTGATGTCATCTCAATTCACCTTTTAAGACAAGTGATGCATGTCTTACAGCCCTTGCGACTCTCCAGATCTGGTGTTGAACAAGTTCCCAAGATGCTTTGGTTTTTAGCCTCTTTGCATCATCTATTGCATCATCAACTCCAGGAAATGATTTGGATCCGTAGTCATCATACTTGGATGGTCCGTACACCAAATGCTTGTACCAGGGTCTTTCAGAGAGTCCATCTCGGTCTGTTAAAGCTCGCTCCGCCATCATTAATCTGTCATTGAGCTCTCTCACTCTCAGAGCTCCTTTAATTCCCTGCACACTCCAGTCAAGCTACTCTCAATAACCAATTTACTTGTCAATTTTTTGACAAATGTAGAAAACTATCGCCACACCTTCTTCTCTATATTTATCCCTCGTGCAGCCGTAGATAGATCTTGGATCGATTTGATTAACGGGGAAACATCTATGCTATGGCCTAACTTCTCCAAATCTTCCGCACTTTTCTGTTTATGCAGGTAGATAAATAAGACTACGGAAATCTATCCGGCTTTGAGCTTATATTTTTGAAAGAAATCAATTACCTTGAGTTCTGATGCATAGGAGATATAGTTGAATGGTAAGAATTCCTCGTCTGCTAACCGAAGAGCGACCAAACCAAGAACACTAGCCATTGCGACATGTCGCTGAAACATAGAGTCTCCAAATTTTTCCATCCAAGTGAAGTCATCATACATAGAGTGATAGACTGGATAGTCTGTTATATATGTGGTTATTTTTTAGCAATGATTAGTCTCTAATTCATGAGAAAAAAAAAAAGCTTATTGACACGTCGGTCTCTATACAAGAGACCATGATGTTTGGCTCATCTAATGTTGGTGTGAGTGGCTAGACTCAGAGATTTACCTTTTCCGAAACGCATGTCAACAGCTGGAACGCCAACATGTTGCACAAATGATGCGTAATCCGATCCTCCACCTCCTAGTCTTCCAATCTTCACATACCCAAGTATACCAATCAGTTTACCATAAGACAAAAATCTATAATATAACATAGTGTAATCTTCACTTACCACACCAGAGTTGCTTGATCCTATCCACGATTCGTAGATACTTTGCGTTGTGTTATCTGGATCACGAACCTGCAAGATGAAAAAGCTTGATTATATGTCCTTTGATAACAGAAACAGTGAACAGCTTAGCATTCAAGATTAGCTCAAAAGACAGTTTTACATACCACCCAGATGCTTGTTAAAACTGCCTTAAAAGTACCTCTTGAGCCGCTTCTTTGATCAATTCATCGAGTTGTGGAGTCGCAGAAGCATGGAATCCGGGGCCAGATACCGCACAATCTACATTCAAGTAGGCCACTGCTCTAGAAGTTAGCATCTCTCTGTTTTCTTCTACCCATTCTGTTGACCCAATCTAATAGAAAACAACACATTAAACTCCTGCTTTCGACATTACCAAAGTAGACAGGTAAGAAAAGCGAGGTAGAGACTAGAGACCAGAGCATACTCCTCAGCATCCCAATTGCACAGAATAATCGTCCTCCGAGGCTTCCACCCTCTTTTCTGCAGCTTATCTAGTCTTTGTGCAATCTACACAGTTTCAACATCTCTCTCTCATTGCAAATAAAATACCATTTGAAAACTTTCAGCATCCAAACTTTACTCACCTCCAAAAGTACCGCAGTGCCACTGTTTGGATCAACAGCTCCGAAAGTCCAAGCGTCTCGATGGTTTCCAAGAATCACATATCTAACCAATTCATCCAAACATAAATCAAATTGCTACCTTAGTGGTCTATTGTCACTCATTATTGAGAATGGTATAACCTATCAGGTTCTTCTTCTCCTTCAATCACTCCAATAACATTCTCAATCTCAGCTATAACAGTTTTCCCCTGAAACCACACCACAGAAATTTCCTAACTTTCTCAAGCAAAGAAACACAAATTCCCAAAAAAACGAATCTTTTCACTTGCACACACACTCACAATGTAGGTCAGGTTCAAGATCCCAGGTCCAGGACCAACTAGATAAACATCTCCATCAGCAACATCTCCTTCCATCGTCTTCAAAATCACTTCCGCATCAGCCGCCGAGACAGGCAACGATGGTATGAGCGTAGAATCGCCGCTCAATTCCACGGCCTCCTCTGATAATCTCTCGCACCCATCGACGCTTGCCCACCCAGGAGTCGTCGGATCTCCCAACCCATTATAAACGGTGCCCACCTGAACCCCACTCGGAGGCATCCATTTACTCGCCGGAAAACACTCCTCTCCGCCGTAATCCCTCTTATCTGTGTAGATCACGACGCCTACAGCTCCCGCCTGATACGCGTTATTCACTATGTCTCCTCTGTAAATCCGTCCGTACCTCGCAATCACGACGGCTCCGGAGGCATTCAAACCAACGAAATCTTCGACTCGTCCGTAGTTTGCATAAACCACAGGCCCGGAAACGTTGCCCGACTTGGCGTATCCATGGAAAGTAGGCATCACTTCATTTGCGTAAGGATTGTCTCCGATTTGTTCTTGTTCAAGCGCGAAAGTTATCGGCTTTGCTGAGTCTCTTGGTGTTAGTACAAGGGAGCGATGAATTGGGTAAGTTAGAGAAACAGGGTAAGCGACGACGTGTGATTTGAGTGAGGAGGAGATGAAGGCGGAGTGAACGTAGGCGGCAGCTTCGGCGTTGGCCTCCGAACCGGCCACATGAGGGCGGCGCGTGAGGGCACGAAGGTTTAAGGCGACGGAAGCGTTGTCGGAGAAGGAAGCGGAGAGGAAGAGAGCATGGTAGTGAGGTTTTGGCGAAGAGGAAGAGTGGAAGAAGAGGGAGTAAGATAAAGCTGCGATTACGAAGGCGAGAGCTGTTGATTTCGACATCAATGGAGCTTCTTTCTTAGATAATCATCACCTCCCTCTCTCTCTCTTTCTCTGCTGCTTCTATGTTTGACTAGAGTAATGGTTTTCTAGAGATGATTTGGTCTTCTGCAATTATTGATTGATCATCGCAACAATCTATTATTACTTTAATGTTCTCTTCACTTGCACTAAGAGATTAGCTTACATTATTTTCTTGACATCATTTAACATACATAAATTATTACGAGATGATATTGATTTTGAGTCCCATTGTTGACACTGACAAAGGTACAAGCTTTATTTAGAGATTATGGTGTGGTAAGACTTAGAGACATTAAAAAATATAGTGATTGCCTGATTGGTGACAAAGATAAAAGCTTTATTGCGGTATGGTTACAAGCATTAAAACAGAATGGTGTTAAAATGTAGAGAATGTAAGAACAGTATGTGATTTTTTAAAAATGTATTTTTATTTTAATGGAAGATGTACATTATTAGTTAGGTGAAAAGGGGGAAAAAAGAAGAAGAAGAGGGTAAAGGTTAGAGTTTGATCCATTCAGAGCCGTCGATGAAGGTAAGAGAAATAAAAGGCTTAGCTTCTTCGTCGGTAAGCTCTCTTGCCCAAGCCACCCTCCCTGCATAGTTTGCTCCTGCTCCCGTGCACTTGTACTGCCCATAGAACACCGTCCTGCATGCACATTTTTTTTTTTTCAATTACAGTTACTTTTTTGTTTTCCTGTGGTGATAATGTTTGATGCCGTATGTACGCATTATGGAGCACTAGAAGAGACTACGCACGCCTACGTTAATGGCTTCAATATCTATATAGGGATACACGCGCGCACACACAAAGTATAATAAGACAAGAATGAAGTCGGTTAGAAGATGTTGAGTGGTGGGGACCTAGGACTCTGAAATGGATGAGGCAATGAGATCGTGTTTTTGTAAAGTTGCACTGAAATGTATCGGCAGGTTTGACATGTTCTCTTTCAATCTATGCTTTATAGTTCATCTCCAAAAAGTCTATGTTTTGGTCCGTTAGTTTTTAGTGTTTTAAGAATTGTTATCTTCGGAATCCACTGATATGATAAACGTTGGTTATATGCAATTGAAAGTAGTGAGGTCAAAGAGGAGTAAAGTAGACTTACATCTCTCGTGAAGGGTCACCCCAATTGTACCAGCCTCTAGGGAGGATGATGTTGTCCATATAGGTGTAAGCAAAGACGACTCTTGAGAAAGGACCCCATGCCCTCCCAAGGTACAAAACCCCTGTCCCTGTCACCTTACACTTGACGAACGAGAATCCTGTGTCCTCTAGCACACTGCTCCTCCCCTGCGCCGTCACTGCTCCTAGCTTATCCGCTATCGCGTGCACGTGGCATCCCTGTACACCACCACCTTTTTTTCTTTTAGAGCAAAAACAAAGCTACAATATCTTCTCATAAAGCTATAGACAGCTATGCGTGATCCTAACGTTTACCTCATAGAGAGAAAGGGCATTGCCAAATATGAAATCAACAGATCCCTCAATGTAACAGTCTTTGTAATAATGTCTTCCCAAATGATCATAGAGTGTGTCTTGAGCGCCAAGCATTCTACACCCGAAAAACGCTGCATTGTCCCCGGAAACCCTCAATGCCACCGCCTGTTTTCCAACCGCGCCAGGCAAGGGGACTGGGGTCGTGTTCTACATACACATAAGACCGATCTCTAAAACATGGATTCAAAACTTATGCATCCTAATAAATTTGAACACAACAGCCTATGGTAATGGTAATTAGAAGTTACCTTGAAAGTGATGTTTTTGGCGACAAAGAAAGGGGAATTGACGGCGAAAGAGGCGGAGTTGAAGGTGCCCATGGGGTTCCCTCTTTGGTCAGGTGTTTGTGCTGTGTCTCCCCATTCCACTATTGTCTTCTCTGCTCCTTCTCCTTCTATTGTTATGAATGCCTTCATTGGAGGTATGTTCACCTTCTCTCTGCACCCATTTTCCCACCAATTTTTTCATTATTATTTTTATTATCATTATTTTGCTTAATTTGGTTTGAAATCTTTTTTTTTTTTTTAACAGCTAATATCTGGTTTGAAATCTAAGAAGAATAACTACAGTTTATAAAATAATGGATGGTAAGCGTGGAGTGTATGTGGTCCCATGGCGCTTTATAACTCCATAATACCCAAAATGTCACTATAAAACTCATTTTCCTATAGATTTTATATATATATATATACATAATACATATTACATATACTCAACCTTTAACGCATATATTACACAACTCTGAGTTCACGTGATCAGATAGCGTTGATTTTAAAGGAGAGATCATTGATTGTTGCATTTCTTTATTGGCAATACCTGTTTAGACTCTTTCTGTTTCATAATTAAATTTTGGCTCATGCAGATGCAGGGAAAGGACGAAAAGAAAAGATATGGTATCACCCTGCTTCTTAAATAGAACGAAAACAAATTGCAAAACTGCAAAATGTATATAGACAAAAACACCAGAATCTATGGTTCACACTGTTGGAATATAGTTACAGCCACTCATTCAAAATAAAAAAATGTATATAAATCTACGGATGATGTGGTACCAATTTGGAATTGAATTACAAAGTGTACCAAACACTCTTTATTCATTTCTATAGTACCCCTGCGAAATTGGCCTAAATAATTAATTGCCTATCCTCTATATACCTCATTATTTAACAAAAAAAAACAAAGAAAATAAATTATATGAAATGTCGACCAAAATATGTTTTGATTAATATTTAATTACACCGAAAATTCAGACTAAGCACATGATATTTAGAGCTGGCATGTAAACTAAGGTAGGCGAAGAGAGACTTGTGCTTACTTGTAAACTCCGGCATGAACTTTGATGACAACACGAACAAGGTTGATGAGAGGGAGAGAATCAATGGCGTCTTGGATTTTAGTGAAGTCACCTTTATTGTGTTTCTTATGGACAGTTAGTGTATAAGAAGGGAAGAGTTTGTTTTTGGCTGCCTTGTACACCGAGTGTTTAAGGCTCCCGACGAATCTAACCCATTTCATGAATTCCTCTTCCGGGTTTTGTGCCTGACTCGTCGTGTTCACATTCTTCTGGTTTCTTGGTCGTATTCGTAAACCTTTGGTGTGGCATTGTGTTAGCGTTGAACAAAGAAGGATAACGAGAAGGAGGAGAAATAAAATGGGAGCTTGAAATGAATTGAATTTGGGCATCTATACGACAAGAATGATCTATAACAAAATTTATGGTGGGTTTTTGTTTTTTCGGGTTTCACCAAAGATACAAAGTACGGCCAATAATATGTGGCTTATGTGATTTCTCAATAGGTAAGTGTATATATACATGTATGTGTGTGTTGTTAGAGGTGGTCGAGTGTTTGGTACTTTGTTAATGGAATTAGGTGAAAAGAGACAGAAGGGAAGATGTCACGGGGTGGTTCCACTCACATCCACGTATAGAACGAGAGCCTAGCAAAAGGCCAAATTAAAAACAAAGGAGACTCTATTATTTCGTTATAGAAACCCAACCCAAAAAGGAAAAAATAAACAAGAAAATCGGGAAAAAAAAATCTAATAACCCACATTGATGTGATACTCATCATTTTTTATTTATCAACAAAAGCTAATCACGAGTTTTACCATCTGTGAATTGAATTTTATGTAAACAACAACAAAAAAAACTATTTAGTCAATGAAAGTTGCATAAGTGTGGAATGGTACGAACATAGAGGAGATATATCTCTTTATTCAATTTAGAAAATCACTTATTCATGTCTAACTAAATATTCGTGAATAAACAGTTAAAACGTTACTTTTAACTTTTATTTATTTTGTAAACGACACATGTGACTTTTTCTTTCTCTTAATATTGCATTTTTATGTGGACATCTAATTTATCATATGGGCTCCGGACAAAGTTAAACGCTAAATCTGAAATCCTAAACTCTAATTTCCATTTAATAAATTGAACGTCTAAATAAAAAAATAATATGTCATAGGAAAGCATTGCATGTTATGGTATAGGAAAACATTGCATGTTATGTAGTTAAATAATGGGTAAAATCGTCCAAACTTTTCCAAAATTAACCAAAAAGGAGTTTACCTGCGCTTAACAATTTTCTCAGTTTTTATTTTTTTACTCTAGTCTTAAGAGGCCAAACATGTGATTAACAAGATATACAATGTTTGTTCGACAAAGGATACAAGAAAGTGTAATAATCACCAAGTGTTTTGGAAATAATTTTACACAAATCCCCAAAAATATAACTAGGAGTATTTCAATAAAACTAAAAATGTTGATTTAGTTCATTTGATATGGTTTTAAATGATAGCAGTAAACATAACGGTTATATATATATATATATATATATAGAGCACTATATATTTTAATAAAAGAACTAAGTGTTATTGCCCGTAGATAACATTCTTTAAAAGAAATTCTTTTCCGCTGTTTGCAAAGATGCGTACCAAACCCGCATGCTGCCACCATCCAAAAACATTTATGGACTAAAGATAAATTATACTGTAAGGGTGAATTGGTGATGAGAGTCCACTAAGAGGTGCACACTGGTATAAAAAACGAAAAGTTTTGTGCACAAACTAAGGCAAGGTAAGGTGGCTTCTCTTTATTCTATCAATTGCTGTTGTCTTTCAGTGCCCGTGACTCTCTCTTATTTCCTTTCTTGTTGGCTTCTGGTAGGGACAACACTCCTCTCGTGAACTGTGGTTTCTATCAATGCTTATGTATATCTGATTTACAAATTATACAAATATTATTAGATAAATCACTCAGATTATAGGGCATTACTAGAACAACACCTTCCCTCGAAGATTTATTAGAATGGCATAAATTTATTGACAAAAGAAATGATACCCAATTTAACCATCAAGAAAATAACAATTTAAAATATTTAAAATATTAATAAACATTTCAAATCAATCCTCACTAATCACTTATTGTTTGAAATTTTCGACTCTTGGAAACAATAATCAGAAATTTGAAAAACTATAATCTAATAAACATTTTTAAAGCAAAGTACACATAAAGTATATTTAAATTTAAGTTTTTAATAGACCATTTAGTCTAAATTTTTTTCTATGCTTATTAGCTTATAGTATTGTCAAAAAGCTTCCAAAAATGTAAAAGGCATTTTGGTGGCATATAAAACAAATGATTTTTTCCCTGTTCAGTACTATATTTTCAATAAACTTAGCTGTTGTAATCAAACGCACTTACACAGTAACTTTCATTACTATATTGTTTTACCTTACAATGGTATGAATAAGAGGCATAAGAACTGTACACATTTTTTTAAAAATATACTTTATCTGTACTTTGCTCCAAAAATATATTTAGTAAATCATATATTTTTTAATCTAATTCCAAGAGTCCAAAATGTAAACAATCATTTTAAAAATTAATTTCATAATTTTTTTTTTTTGCTATTTAAATGTAAACCGTTTACGAGGAAAAAAAATGTAAATCGTTTTATAATGAACAGTTTCTTACATTTTTAAAAAAATTCTTAGGATCTAAAATCTATGGGCCGCATGAGTGAACAAACTTAGATGTTTAAATGTGCAAACAAATTCCTTTCAATATCGACGCTTCCATAAAATATGTTTAAGTGATTTGTGAACCACTGAGGAAAAATCTTTTGTATGAAAGTAATTTTCGTTACCCGTAAACCAGTTTGCACTACAGGAACATAACTTGCAAGTTAGCCACAATACAATTTAAATCGTTTTATCATATTGTAGTTCAGTTAAATAAAGGATTCTATGTTTAAAAATTTATTATTTTGAGATTATGTATTTATTTTCAAGATTTGATATCAGACTTTCTTAAAGTTGTAGATTCGTAAAACTATTCACTATAAGAAAACACGTGTATTTCCGATGAATCTGTATATTGCACACAGATTTCATGAAAAATACGGTGATTAAAAGTCTAATTAAGAGAAAACATACTATATATATAATATCGATCGTAATAGGCCATCCTACCAAATCATGCATTTGCTTCAAACACATACAATTTAATTTTTGTAAATGTGGATCAAAAAGAGAGCTCTTCAAGATTTTCTCATTAAATTACAATTTTATGCTTTCACTTTATTGCTATATAAATAAATTGATTTCTGTACGGGCAAGTACATGCATATTTCTCTCTTAATTTACCCTATACTATTCTTCTGTATTTTACAAAAAATTATCTCCGTACAGATATTTAGTTATCAGGAAAAAAAAGATAGTTATATTAAATGGATAGCAAAGCCCTGCATCTGAAACTTCAAGCGATGAGACAATCTTTCTTTGACGAGGTTAGTCTATTTCAAATTAACTAGTGCATCTGTGCATGTACTTTTAAACGTATGTAAAATTATAGATTTGTTTTTGTTAAATTATGTAGAATGATTGACGCAGAGCAAATCCGGTTGAGATTGATCTATGCTTTTGACAGCTAAACACTTGTAGGTTTAATCATTTACTAGATTCTATCCCGTGCATTCACACGGGAACTATTTTTAATTTATCAAATTTTATGATAAAATTTATGTTTTTCTTTTTTTGTATATATAATTTTCTAATAAGTGATAAATATTTTATTTGTTTATATATATTTTGTTTCTATTAATTTATTATTTCTAGTATATATATGATTGCGATTAGAGAAACATTATTCTATTTCGTCCGTTTATATTAATCTAATAAGTACAACGATTATAAAAAAGTTATTATAACATGTCCATTTATATTAATCCGAAAAGGATCATAGTTATTAAAACATAATTATAACCTGTTTATTCATGTTATTTGTATATTTTATATATTTTTTAAGTTTGAATATTAAAAGTTTTAGATTTATTTATCAAAAATATATAGTAATATATTATTTTTATCTTTGTCACTGAAATATTACTTAAATTTGAATATGTAAATTAAATCTTAATTCATATATTTTTGTAAAAATATAATAATAACTTATTTTATAATTTTTGATAAATAATATAACCTAAATTTAAGGAAATCTATAATAAATCTAAATTCAAATTTAAAATTTTGAATTTATTTTCAAATATAAAATTAAATATATATTATTTTTTTAATATTACGTTAAATTGACTTGTTTGATAACAAATTAGGAGTTATCCAAAAACAGAATAGTAGAAAATTAATTAAAACCTGTTTGGACACAAAATACCCTTCTCTTTTAATAGTATAGACTAGATTTTAACCTCGTGCGTCCGCACGAGAATGTTTTATTTTTTATTTCTAATATAAGTTGCATTTATTTTTTTGTTTAGATATAATTTGTTTTTGTTATTTATTTTTTTTAAATTAAAAAATTGTTATCATATTTTAATTTTAAACTTTGTATATTAGTAGAATAAGAGTATGCGTTAATTAAATATACATTGATCTAATGTTAATTATAAACTTTGTTATTATGTGAATTTAGATTTACACATAAAAAATCTATATATCTATGAATTTGCTAATCCATCCGTTTAGTTGTTTTAAATCATTTTTAATATTTTACATGTTTTGACAAACTAACCCGTATAAGACTATAATTATAATTGTATAACCCTATAAATATTTACTAATATGGAATATTTGGACCAATTGATTATGAAAAAATATAATAAGATATTTATTTATTATTTGTGCTATTAAAAAAAAAAAAAAAATATATATATATATATAAACTGGCTAACCTATTAGTTTAATTATCTCAAATCATCTTAATATCTTACATTTTAATAAATTAACTCATGAACCTTAAATATATATATATATATATATATATATATAAAACTCTAATCAGCTCGATGATCATATTATTGTATAATATAAATATTTATTAATCTCAAATATTTGATATTTTAGACCAATTGATTATGATAATATACGATAAAATATTTATTTACTATGCATTTTTATAAAAAAAAATTTAAATTTTAAATTTTAAATTAAATCTCTCCTGTATTTGAGAAATTTTAAAGTATTAAAATTATTATCTAAATTTTTGTAATAAATTTTAATTATAATTTTTTTTGAATTTTTTGAATTTAAATTAAATTGAATGCGAATTTTTGTAACTAAATTTAGTTAAATTTCTAATAATTTGAAATTTAAATTAAAGATAACCTGGATTTTAGGAAATCTAAAAATATAAATTAATAACTAATTTTTGAAAATTAAAAATAAAAATAAAAATAAAATATTATAAAAAAAACTTTATGAGTGTTTGGATGGAAGCACTAAATGTGCTTTTGTTTTAATAGAATAGATGAGGAATCTTGTTTAAATTTTCTAAATAAATATTGACGCAGGGATACCTGAATTGTCAGTATACTCAGATAGAGGCCCTGGAGAAAGACAAAAACCCTCATTTTATCGTAGAAGTAATAACTCTGTATTTCAGAGATTCCCCTAATGTTATTGCTGCTTTGGAACATGAATTGTGAGTTTCCTATCTCTCTCCGTATCAAAATCCGCTTTGATATTAAATCCATGGAATGCATCAATTGATACTGAATTTATATAATGTTAGAAATGGAAGGGGATCAAGTTAGATTTTGTATGTTTGTGTGTACTGAAACAACCTATATTTAATTAAGAGTAGATGCACAACTGCAAGATCTAGATCATAACTTTACGTATCCTTAAACAAAGTATAACAAATGTGATAAGAAAGAAATTGTTATCACATTTTTTCTTTACTTTTGATGAATTTCTTAATTTATATCTAAGCACGTGCCATTTAAATTAATGAAACATGTTGAAGAAGATTGACTTTCAACTCAAAATCACTTGACAATTACCGGAGTGGTTTATGTTTTTATATACTAGCGTTGGTTTATTTTCACATAATGTGATTTTTTATATAAAAAAATATCCAGTATATGGTTAATTTACCCTGGCTATAGTTTGGTATTTAAATTTGTGCTGATTATTTCTGAAACAGGGAGCGGGAGCCAAAAGAGGTACCCAAGATTACCAAATGCATTCTTCGGTTAATAAGCAGCACGGCATGGTTAGTGACTTTGTTTCGCAATGTGGTTTAGAAAAATGAAATAAAATTTTAATATTAAGGAATATAAATGCTATATTTTTTTTCATTCAGCATTGGCGCCATCAAAATTAGTAGTGAACTTACGAAGGCAAACACATTTCTCCAAGCTGGCAACATAGAAGGGTAAGTACGTTCTTCTCATTTTATTTCTTTAAATCTCTTACATAAGTTTTCATTTAGCCATGAGATAATATACAAACCTTTTTTTATTCATAATTTTTGAAAATTACATTTTTACTTTGAAGAATAAAAGCAGCACTGCGTGATATCAAGAAGGAGCACAGTGAACTCCGCGCAAAGTTTGAGACATATTTCCAGGTTTATTAATTTAATGATTCTTAATACGCGAATGGTCTTTCTTTTTTGTGGTTGAGAAAAGGGCTAATATAAGCTTCAACTATAATGAGCTTCCATATGATTTGGAAGTGGATCTAATTAACTCCATTTATTAATTGCATCTAATTCTTAGCTTCTTCAATTTGTTTGCCAGTTGATGAGACAAGCTGGTCCCGTAGAACAAGCTGTGAACTCAAGCTGAAGATATGCAAACCCTGTACGTAGCTTGGTTCGCATGGCAAATACTGTATTACCATTTATCGATATCAGTTATAAATTAATGATTGTAATAATATGGAATGTTATATTTGTTATCTGTTTTTTTTTTCTTTCTCAGCCATACAGTACAAAATAATTAAGACAACAGTGACTTGGGATGAAAATTATAAAAATGATTCTTTCGTTCTAAACCCGTCAACCAAAAAAAAAATGATTCTTTTGTTTTCTTTCTCGTTAAAATTACAAATTCTCACAATACCCTCCCCCAAAAAATACCCGATCATTCTTCCAAGTCAGAATAATTAAAAAAAAAAAAACGCATAAGCATTCGATGGATGTCAGTCAGCAGCGACAGTGACAACGTAAAATAATGGTTCCGTTAAGTCTCCGTTGCTTTGCGCCGTAATAACCACATCGACGCTTTCAGTGCACGTTAGCTTCCTGGCTCTCTTTGCCTCTCCTTCCCAATCTGTAGTGGCCACGACATAAAGCATCATCGCAGCACAGCACATCTGAGCCGCGAAGAGACCAATCCAAAGCCCGCAAAATCCATACGCGGCCCAAAACGTTAGCCCAACCGCTACAGGCGTTCCGACGAGGTAAAACGCACCTAGGTTTATGTTGGCCGCTTTCGACGGCCGAGCCGTGCCTCTAACAACCCCACAACCTACGGTTTGAGGACAGTTTCCGAGCTCGCACAGCCCAAGAATCGGCAACGCAGCCGCGGTTAATCGGATGATATCAACATCGTTTGTGAAGATACGTCCCCACACGTCGCTTACGCCCCAAGCAAACGCAGAGGCCGTCATACCCATTACTCCGGCAAAAGAAACCGCCACAATGGCTGATAACCTAGCCGTTTTCGGGCGGTTTGACCCGAGTTCGTTACCGACGCGGGTGGAGACTGCGAATCCTAGAGATGATGGGAAAATGTAAAGCAACGACGTCGTTTGGATCAGAATGCCCATTGCTGCAACTGGAGTTTTAGGGTTTATGAGTAAACCACAAAGAACGGTCATGATCTCGTACCACCACCACTCTAGGCATACGCCCACGCAGCTTGGTATTGCTAGGCTGATCAGTGGACCCCAGTCTTTGAAACATTCTGAGCCGGGACGGGTCCACGTTGGTTTGTGTAGACCTTTGACCCAAACGTGGGCCACAAGGAAAACAACAACGAATAGGTTTGAAGCGGCCGCAGCTATTGAAACACCGATGAAACCCATTCCGAGGTAAGAAACGAGGAGAAAATTGATGGGTATGTGGAAGATGGTGCCGGCAAGTGTTGCTAGGGTTAGTGGGCTTGTAATACCTTGCGCTCGAAGGTATATACGAAGAGGGTGAAGAACGGAGTTGGTGAGCAAATCAGGAACAGAGCAGAGGATATATGTTTGAGCCAATGATGAGATACTTGGATCTTGATGGAGATAGATCATGATCTTTCCCAAGTTAAGCCATAGAGCGACGATTGCTAGCGAACTGGTGAGCAGGAAAAGTACGGTTCTTTGAAGAGTTAGCGAGAGGAGTTTTGGCTTTCCAGCTCCAAAGGCTTGAGAACAGAGTGGGTCCATGCCGAGTGCAAGGCCTGCGAGAACGGAGTAGCCAGTGATGTTGGCGAAGGCAATGGCCAAAGAGCCACCAGCGAGCTCTAGTTCGCCTATATGACCGAGGAAGAGCATCGAGATGGCGGAGCGAGCGTAGAGAATGAGCGCGGCGAGGATTGTGGGAAAGGCTAAGGAGAAGAGAGACTTTGCCTCTGTTTTAAGCTCAGAAATTGGCGGGAAAATGCGGCTCGGCTTTTGCTTTTCAAGATCCATCTTCGAAAGAAGATTTGTGTGACTGGTGATGTTAGTGGTTTCCATTTGTCTGTGAAATGAAACACTGGACGATTTAGAGTTAATGGATAAAACTATTCGCCGATGTATATAGAGGATAACTTTTCAGGTCATATATAGACAAATAGCTAACTATATGTCTTTCACGATCTGCAAGAACTGGTCTCCTGGTTAGTGGATTTTCTTCAATATAAAGAAGTCAAATATATATTTAAAGGATGCCAGTAAATTATAATCATTTATTTAAATTGAGTAGCATTTTGATGAATAACACTACTAATTACCTCTATTTAAGAAAAGAATATTTTAGAATTAAAAGATGTTGAGCAGGATATATAAGAATGAATACGCATAATGTATTTTTAATAATAGTATATCTATCCACTCACAAAATAAGAACAACTTATATCCAATGTGTTTTAATGATATTATATCGTTAATGTATGATTGTTATTGGGGATTTGTGCTGATCAGTTATCCAGTAAGAACAAAAACCACATAATATTTAATTATAAGAATATACATATGCGTAATATATATGGCTGAGACATACATAAAAACATAACTAAAATTTATGTGAATCTATATGATAATAATAAAATTGAGGAAAGAGAAACTTGAACAAAATTTCTCTGCAAAACATATTTCTTAATAAATCTAAAATTTTGCTACCAAAATTCTATTTCATATCTTTTACCAAAACTAAATGTTACTAATATAAACTACACTAAACTACTAATAATAATCATTTTATCGTATTTGAAAACATTTATACAATCAGTTTTACAAACAGTTAAATCAAAATTAAATGGTAAATATAATTAGGTAATATCATATTAATAAACTTATCATATCTATAAATCAAATATCAATTTTAAGTTGCACTAATTTATCATATAGAAGGAACACACAAACCAATATATACATGTTTGGGCTATAATTGTTACCAACCATGCATGCAGATGGCATACAACGGTAAGTGCCGATCGAGGAGATCTCCAGCGAAAAATAAAAGAAAAACTTGCAAAAGATCAAAAGTCTCAGAACCCTAATAAGAACAAACTGAAAAGCTCTTGAAGACCAACATAAATTCATATCGATTCATGATTTTCGACAAGCCCGGCAGAAAAGCGCAGCCCGAGGGATATTCGCAACGTAAGCTACATAGATTCAGCTCCGCATGCTTCGCCGAAACCAAAACACTGAACCAAAACCGGATATGTCACTTTGACCGCTCCAGAACGTCCAAACCACTGCGTTAAACTAATACACAAAGATCGTTCATGTCATCGATAACTACATACTATATTTTGTTATTAACGAAGAGGCAAATGTAGTTTTATTTCTTTGTTTGCAGTCTCCTCCGAGTCATTGTTACATGTGACATGGAATTGAATTTGTCTTTATAAACCTGTCTTTTTTTACTATTCTTTTTTGATAAAAACATGTTTTTCTTTCTTAAGAGTGTCAAACCTGTCATCAAACATCCAAACATGTCTTTAGACGAGCAATCCAAAGATAACCGTTGACTTTTTTATAATTATGAAGGTTTGACTTTATAGTTGTTGTATATATTTGACTTTTTATATATATTTTTAAAATATTATACATATTTTCGGTCCCATGTAACAAAACATCACATAATAGGCAGAAAGTACATAGTTAGTATAGCTGACTATAATATTAAATCCTGGAGTTTCCTTGTTGAAGATTAGTCATTACTTGGTTAAAGAAAAAAAGAAGTAAAAATAGCATTTGTATGCTATTGGCATTTTCTAGGCTTTAAACATATATCTTATATTTTTAACCAACGTAAAAATATATAAATTTATGTCTCAGTTCATGACTCTTTCTAAAAGAGACGTGCTTTTCGATTGGAACCATGTCCGCATAAGACTGAAGCATGCTTGTTTTACAGGTCCACGTATCTAGCTAGGCTTCTCATAGTTTTTCGCTCTTGAATTTTTCCAAAGTTTACCTTCTCCATGTGAGATCCAGATCTATGTATTGCATATTAAAATATGTATTTGTTAATCCTTTTCTTGCGTTAATTTATTCAAGAATGTTGTACAAATCATATAATACATATCCAAAGGGTACTTGATCACCATTTATTTCATGTATTTGCTAGTTTTTACTTCTTTTAAACTGTAAACTATACATGTTGATCTGGTTGCGTACAATGGTTTGGTGATAGGCGTAATCGCTTCCGTATGTGAATATATAAATTAGTTGACAACTTTTCCGTCAAATCATATAAAATTATGTATAGTTTTGACATTGTTATTCCTAATAAAAAATTGAATGCAACCCTATCGTGTATCCTTCATGAGGAAAGCATATATGAATATATGATAGAGTAATATGCTTGCAGACAATTAGTTCCATTTATACTAACTAATTATACATAACCAACTGTCAAACTATTTTATCTTGTGTTAGCTCATCGATCACCAGGGTGGGCGGCTGGTGGTTCATGGTGACAGATATTAGGAGCCCCAAGTCTTTGATATGATTCTCATGCTATGAGATGCAACATCACAGCTCGGGGCTAAGCTGAACGAGACCCATACAGCCTGATCATTTTATCTGCAGATTTTTTTTTTGTAATTCTACAAAAAAAAATTTTTTGTCGATATCTTTTAAACGATGACGCAGAGCTTCACATGAAAGAGTTGAGCATTGTTTGGCTGTAAATAGATGTTTATTTTGATAACTTGGAATTCCACATGGACATGTAGGTTGACATTTTTCTGATGAAAATCTAGTTACGAGTGTTGGAGGTTTATTTGAAAGTTGAGACTTTGGATTTCAATGTAAACAATAAACATGTTTGATGATCTTCTGTTTCGTGACACGGCACTAGAAAGAGAGGAGCGAGGGAATGAGAATGGATTTAATATGAAAAAACTAGACCTTTTTTTTACTCAAACAATTAATCATTATCATCAATGGATACCATTAAAATATGCTATTTTATTTGAGTCCGTAACTTTAAAATTATGTTGTTGTTTTATGTGATATATCCTCCTAACTTGGCCTCACTTTTATACTTTCTTTGTTTCAAATTTATAGATGTTTTAGCAAAGAGATAGAATTTTTAAAACCGTCTATATATTTTGTAATTTGTTTCTTAATGTGTCAAACCTTAAAACATCTATTAATTTAAAGTAGAGGGAGTATAAATCACTGAAAAAGATCAAATGAAAATTTATGTTTTTTTTTCGGCGATCAAGTAACTATTTAAGAACTCAAACTAAGGCTATTTCGAGTTTTTTTTTTCTTTTCTTTTGGATTGGGTCCCGATTTACAACAAACATAAAATTCGGGTTAACAAATCCAAATATGTAAAGTTTTACAAAATTTTGACAAATCCTACACCAGAAACTTGACTGCGTCTGCAACAACTTCCTTGAAAATAAAGAGAGACCTAAGAGTTAACATAGAACTCAACTCACCATCCAACATTGAAAAGTTCTACGATTTTTTTAGATCCACGGATTCTTCTTCGCTGATTTTGAAGAGCTTGTTTTCTGGTGACAAAACAAAACGTTAGTATATGTTTGTCCCAATAAGATTAGTCGTGACATCCTTCTTAAGACCGATCCCTCTTAGCATTCAAACTCATTATTTCAGAGTCGAAATTCAACTATTACGGGCTTAATAAGTAAAGGTTGAGTAATATGTAGGAGGACTCTTAGAGACTTAGACTAATTTCCCAAATTCTTTTACAGGTGCTTACCAATTTCAGCTTCTTCGCTCTACCACGAATCCTGTTCTTTTGAGGTTTCAGCTTGTATATCCGGACCATCCAATGGTGACTCGTGAAAACCTGATAAGACAAAACCAGTCACATTTACCAGAATCCAAGTTGAATCAATGCGCCACCGGTTTCTGGTAAAGAAAAAGAATCTCACCTCATCGAAATGTGTGAGCTTGAAATTCTTCTTCCCAATCTCTGTCCGCCTGACCCGATCAAAACCTTTACCATCTGTCTCTACAAATCTGACGAAAAAAACATAAAAACTGAGCTTGTAAACAGAGTTCAAGAGGTAAACAGTTACAAGAAATCATAGTCGTACCTGTAGTAAGAGAGCTTGTACATAAGGCAGTTCAACATTGTCGGAGTGGCCTCAGAATCAATCCGGTATTGGCCATCTCTCTTTGCAAAGCAGTTAATAAGTAACCAGGTTCAGATTCAAAGTCCTCAAAATATTGAGCCATCACAACTTGTTCCTAAAACCCAGTAAAGAAAAAAAGAAGATATACCAGATAATCAGCTTCCTTTATATGAGGAAAGACGCCGCCTCCAATACGCACCATCCACAGAAACTTGTTAATATCATCACTTGGGTAACCAATCAGACCTGGTGAAATGATTTTCCCATCAGGATTATACCTCCGAGATAATACACAAGATAACAATGTCATGAGCCAGAAACATACCACCAAAGACGACAAGAACGTATTTCACATCCAAGGAGTTGAAAATTTCCCACGCCGCCTTTTCTGGAGATGACATTGCAGTGCCAACAGTTGCAATGTGAGTATTATTCCAGGTATTGTTGTCAACTATAACAGTTCTATTAGCCATAGCTGTCGTCTGATAGCCATAGTCCCACCATGATGCTACCTTCATGATTTTGTTTCGGTAAACCAAACTCAGGCAACTTCATATAACAAAGACAGCTTATACCTCTACCAAAGGAGGCTAAGTTGGATAAAACTGACTTGTTTCTTTTTTCAAAAAATAAAACTTACTTTGTCATCCACGTCAGTATTATGGCTTAACCATGCATAAGATTCTCTAAAATCATCAAAGACATGTAGGCCATCGCGCGATTGAGATGTCAAAACTATTGATGGAGCTGAATATGCTTCTGCAGCTGCCCAAACACAATGAATCTACAAAAAAATATATGCATTTGAAACTCTAATCATTTGTACTTTCTCGTCTAAAACTAACAATAAAAAGAGGAACCAAACAAACAACTCGAAGAAAGTTGGCATACCACATAGAAAGCACCCAACATTATAAGGAGAAGAAGCGCAACGATAGAGGCTTCGAAAGGCAAAACAAGCGCCTTCTTCTTCACAATCTTGGACTTAACAGAAGGTTTATCGGCAGGTTCTCTCTCTTTCTTCTTGCCCTTTCTCGACGATCGCTCTTTTGCACTTTCTTCACCCTTGTCAGTCTTCCCAGCAGAACCATCATCTTTTGAGGCATTGTTTGTAGAAGTCTTGTCCTCTGCCTAACAGTCGAAACACAAATCATTTTTTTTCCAGAACTTGGGTAGCACAAATGATTCACCAGAGCGAAAAAGTAGAGGGAGAAGGATACTTACATCATCTTTGGAATTAGACGATCCACTTAAATGGTATTTGATGGAAGCCGTGAAAACATCGAAAGCTTGAGAGAGCGCAATCCCAGACATGATGCATGCTGCTGGAGCAAGCACGAGCATAAGACGAACCTAAGAGATCAGGAAGGCAGTTGAATACAGGATTGAAGAAAAGACCTAGGCAATGGAAAGATGAAACTTCAATTCGTAGATACGCAACTCACCATAACTCCAGAAAAGTATACAGACATTACAATATAAAGGACCACAAAAGAGCTGGCATCAGATAGAGGCGAAAAGCAGGCCTACCAACGAACAATAAGAAAAGAGAAAAGAATCAACATCAACTATTATATGTGTAAAAAGTGATGTTATTGAGTACAAAATCTAACAATAAAAGTTAACTCACAACGATGCCAGCAGGGACCAGGAAAGCCAAAACATTGATATCCATGAAATAGGACGGCCAAGTTGGAGGTTGATGTTCACTGACACTTGCAATAATTGGAATATACTTGCTTGCATAAGTTCTGTTGTATGATAGATAAAGAAACCAAAAAGAAGGGAGTGTCAGAAATTTTCAATTTTATAATGATAAAGGAGTGTGGACAATGACATACTTGAAATTTGCGAAGAATCTCGATCACTAGGAGAAATAAAGATCGAAAATTTAGAACCACTCACGGATCAAGTAGACTCAAACTCCTACCACTCCATCCTTTTGTTGGACTTGAAGCCACCAATGCCACAAGAACTGCCACAACTATGAAACACACAACCCTGTAATATAAACTCTTCTTATCAAAGTGTGATAATTGAGATAAACTCGTCTTATTGAGGTGTGATAATTGTAGACATTTCCGAGAAAACAGTTTGAGAAAGCTTACAGGCCGATAGACACCACAAGTGTCACAGCAACTTTGAACATTTTAGGAGAAAGAATGCCTTTGATGTAGTATACGAGAGCTATAACGTGGATGATGATGAAAACCTGCATAAGTTGCCAATAAAATAATTCTTAATAAAAGTACAAGTAAATGAAGAGAATTAGTACAAGTCCACTTGCACAAATATAATTACAATTAACATATATCACAAGAGGAAAGAAATAAAATGAGGCTTCAAATTTCTAGCTCCGATAACTCAACAAGCAACAATTAGTAACCTCGCATTCAGAAAACTAGTCACCGAAAAGACTATATAACACGCAAAGTTAAAATCAATAAGCTAAACATTAACAGAAAAGACATACGTAAAACTCACCAAAAACGAGGCAAAATGTTCAGACGTCAAAACCGCATTGAAACCAACAACAGGTACCAATGCAGCTAACAGCGTGCCTAAAACAACCTGCATACGCATGCACACACTTGTGTCAATAACTTTCCGAATATTGGCATTCAGCTATTGTTCATCATCTTACGAGATATATACAATCACTTCACTCCAACATAGAGAGAGAAGTGAGTTCAGAATAATATTAATGGAGGTATCTTGTTTTCGTACCAATGGAGGTATTTATATTTGCGAGACCATATGAATCATCACAGAGCTTCCTAAAAAAGCGTATAGTGGACAGTTCAAGAAATTTTATGGCTTGATAGAAGTAGAAATGTCTCTTATAATTCTAGTCATTTTATGAATTTAGTTTTTGTACACTTATAAAAACTGTTTTGAAATAAGTAATAGCTAGGGTCCCAGCAATTATACATGACTCTCACTTGTACATTCAGATTTTTTATATTGCTGCTCGTCATTTCATGAATCTAGTTTTTGTGCAATAACAATTTTGAATATAGCTAATAGCTAGAGTCCAGGCCAATATACATGATTCTCTTTTGTACATTCAGATTTTTTATATTTCTCGTCATTTTCTGAATTTAGTTTTTGTGCAGTTAGATAACAGTTTTGAAATAACTAATAGCTCGAGTCCAAGCCAATAGACATGACTCTCACTTCATTCAGATTTTCAAGGGAAAAAACAGATAAAGGCATGCTGTGGTATTGATTGTTAAAATGGATTTTATATGTCACCGGGAGGAGGAAGATTCTTACCAAAGGAGCATAGGCAATGTACAGTCGGGGAGAGTATCGACCAGTTACAATGCACAGAAGCACATGCATTGGAATCAGATTGATGATGAAGGTGTAACCTCCCCAAGAACATACCTAAATGATGGAAAAAGGTGAAAAATGAGCAGAGAATAGCTAGTAAAGACGGAGAGAGAAAAAGTTGGGAATAAGCCGTACCATGTAAAAGTATGCAATGGCATTCAGGGTGGCATAAAACAGGGAACCTGTATTTAGTGTCTGCATAAAATTCATGATAAGGATCACCGGAAAGAATATATTTTAAAGGGACTGGTGACTAAGAAAACGAAATTTACAGGAGAAAGCTTGATGATGGTTGTTGAAGGCATTTAGTTACGCACATGCTCCATAGGGAGAAAAATCAAAACAACTTTACATGCCACTGGGAAAAACCCTAACCTTTATGTAAAGATAAAAAGTGAAGATCAAAGCAAAAATGGCAACAGCTTCATTGTCATAGCTTCCAGCGACAGATCGGGATATATATGAGGGAACCTGCAACGATAACCATTTACTAAGAAAACTAACATTCTGAAATCCAATTAATAGACATTTGTGGAAGATTCCACTAAACGATACACCAATGCTGAATAGTGTACATGACATCCAATAACCTATTAAAGTCATAGCCATGATGTTCACTAGAAGAAAAATTAAACGTATACCAATAGAACAAATTACCATGGCCAAAAGAGCAGCAGCTGCTAGTCCTGCACCGGAGCCCTTAACTTCCTGTTAATATGCAATAGATACTGTTGGAATGAACTGGTTCTGGAATTTATTAGAGAAATCATGTTTGAAAAAAGATAAACCTTGGTCAAAAGGTAAGTTGCCCAGGATGCGAAAGCTGAAAATACAGGTGCAGTGAAGACGCAAACAGTCTCTACTGACAGAGGAATGTTTAATGAATTCAAGACCCTGTGGCAGATGGAGATAAATATTAAAATTTTATACTGATCCTTACGTGTGTATATAAATGAAACTACACTCACCACCAAATGGTTCCAGCAGTCAACGTTAACCCAGGGTATACAGTTCCTCCAATCACACGGCCAAGAGGATACCTAAAATCAAATCAAATAAGAAAACAAAATTAGTATAGTACAATTGAAGGTAGCAAAAAAAATAGATCAAGAGATTCAAATTTCTGATCCTCAAATTACCAGGTCCGATCATCAAACCAATTCCAGAACTCGTAAATTCCATTCTTTGATAAGAACTGAAATAAACAGCAAATTAATTAGTATCACAAGCTGATAAATAAATTAATAGGAGAACTCGCCACAAAGCTGAAATTAATATCCTGGATATAAGAAAAGAGAGGGGAACCTGAGTGACTCTGTAATTGAAGTAAGGATCAAACTCATGAATCACACTCTCATACTTTATGACCTGAAAATAAATCAATGAACGTTAGCCAAAAATAAAACAAAATCAAACACTGAAAAGTATGAGATTGCTATATTCAAAGAAGAATCAGCCTCATCCCAAGCATTCCCTTAATTGTCAAATAAATAAAAGTAGTGATGAGAAGCAAATCTCGGAGAAAGCATTGAATAAAACCTCGAAGCTAAACCATTTTAAATCTCAACTGGGATAAATGAACCATCCATCATTTCAAAAGGGTCTGAGCAGAAGGACAAATTTTTAAGGCAAGGATATGAAATCCACATTTTCGGTTATCAAATATACCAAGCAACCCAAATTTGCAACAACATTTTCTTCTTTACCACACAGACAGTGAGAGAACAAAGAAGCTACACCGATCAGTCTCGAATCATGAGAATCGGATCCAGAATAGTCGGATCTAAAGTAGTTCAATCGGATCTAGTGCCAAGCATATCGCAGAACACTTTTATAACTCAAAAGAGCTGAGACATCAATGAACTCACAGAGAAGAGTCGGATCGAGAAAGCAAGGACCCCAATGAGGAGGAGGATCAGAGCTGACAGAACGCTCCCGAAAGCATGCCTCATCGCAGACGGCGTTCCCGGAGGTGGGCTCTCTAGAGCCGCCATTACAACGCAGCGAAAGTGAGCTCTCCGGCTCGAAGAATCGGATTAAAGAGAGAGAGAGAAAGAGAAACAGGTTCAAGGTCGAAGGGTTTTTCCACGGCAAAACTATCTCACGGGAAATCTCATGCGCAAGCTCCAGTAACTAGTAAACGACTGGCCTAAGAATAGAGCGCCTTCGTGGATTTAACACTTGTCAATTGTTGATTCGCCACTGTTATCTAAAACTCTCCGGGTTTTTATTCCGTGATGTAACTATCAAACCAAACCGAACCGCTGTTGACTTTGCCGACCGGTAAAAAGTCCCGTCAACCAGGTTAACTAGGTTAGGCATTCCCGGTTCAAATCAAATTGATTTAGTCTAAAAATGCACTATATATTTTTTTGCTAAGTATAAAGTGTAGAGTTTATTATATTACATATATTAAGACTTAAACAATGAACAGTGTATGTTTATTTGTTCTCCTCTCCTTCTAATAAACCTGATGCTATATATGTGTGTTTTCAATGAAACATTTAATTGTAAAAATATAACTGAAGAAAAATAAATATGTTGTGTTTTATATTTAAAGTTATGTTTTCAAATAAAATTACCAATTTTCTGTTTAGTCCAAATAAACTTTTGTTCCAAATATATTGAATCATCTGTTTGAAGTTTTACTTTATTTATAGCTAGTCATCTAGTAAACTTGTTTCTTGTGACCATATTAGAAGCAATGACTTTTTAAGTGAACTTCATTTCTATTAGTAGTTATAAATTGGTTTGAAATTTTTCAATATTATGTATACAATGTTATAAAATTATGAGTTGAGCTCAAATTAATATTATGAAAGAAAGATTTTGTACAGAACAACATAAATGAAAAATATAAGTTTTAGAAGATGTAATCTTCTGTAAAATAAATTTGTATCTTGCAATATGATTATCCATATAAACTATTGCTGAATTTGAATTTAAAGCTTACATCACCAGACTTGATTGGTTTATGTTCCAATCACGAAAACCCACCTCTTAAATTATCCAATAAATGAACCATTTTCCAAATGATCATATAAAACTTTGTTTATAAACTTTTTACTTTAAATTTAAAATTACTTTTGTATTAAAAGCAGAAACAAGTATTTTTTTAACGTGGTATTGATGTTGTGATAATTGTGTAGCGTTGAACTGACAAAAAAAAAGATTTTGAATATCCAAATCACGGTTTGACTCTGTTCTTTTTCATTCATACGTCTCTAGCCTTGTCAATGTCTCCTCTAAGAATTTCCGGTCATATGCTTTGATTACATGGTTTAGTACTAGTACTAAGGATAAGGTTAATGGAAAAACTGTTTGCTGTTTAGTTTTACAAAATTAAAATTACAAATCCTTTTTTGTGTTCCAAGTCTGCACAGAAGCAAGTTTACTAGAAAATAAAGTTCAAATTAGAAGTTCCATTCATTTTATTCTACTACTATTAAAAGTCTCTCGGATCGACAAAGATGGTCGCATGGTCAAGATTTTTTTTTCTTTTTATAGTAATATAGATTTTTTTTTGTCGTCTTATAGTAATATAGATTAATGATGCGAATGTGGAGCTCATCATTTTCATGAAAAATAAGGTTTCGGTCCAAATGCACTTTATTATAAAAAAAATTTGGCCGGATATTGTTTTGACTCATTAGCTTCCCACTACTAAAAATTTGTGAGATTATCTGAATTAGAAATACTGTTTTTTTTTCTTTCCTTTTTGTTAAGCAGCAAATTTGTTCGAAGCAAAACTTATAAATAGTAACCAAAAAGTAGTAAAATCTGCAACATGCAAATTCTCAATACTTAATAATCTCATGAAACTAAAAAGATAAAGAATGACAGAGGGAAATTTAAATTATTAAAGTTACTGTTGGCCGAAAAAAAGACAACCTCAGACTCGGGATTCCCTTTTGCAGACAAAGTCCACATACTGCAAACAGACCAAACACGTTTTGATAAAATATCGATGAAGAGAATGATTTGATTTGCTCGTTTCAATTCTTTATGATAAACAGCAGACACATGTATATTTCGAGATATCTGTGTTTTCCTTAATTTCTTGGATTCGACGCCTCTGAAGTCTGAACCATGAGGAAGCATGCTATCATAAAACGAGCACACGACGAATATCCATCTTTAAGCAAATAAGTTAGAATCTATTTGCTCCACATTTGGGAAGATTTGTCTGAGCACAGCAACATAATCGGACGACTTGGCCTGAGAAGAGATAGACAAAAAACAAATTGCTATACTTGAAGTAGCTATTGCTTAATGGATTGAAAGTAATATGATAACTTGTCCCATCTTCCGAGCCAGAGAAATTCATAATTTACAAAAGACATTGGGTCTCACCCAAATACCCAAATAAATGAATTGACAGATGCATAAACTACAACCATGTTGTGATACTCAACTCCAGTTCCTAAATGCATTAAATGATCTATCTAGATTACGATGCGCATTGAACAAGACCAGCAACAGGATCATATGTCTATCACTAAACTGACATGCCATATCGAAAAGCAAAACCAAGATTGGAATTCCTACAATAATGCGTGACAAGAAATTCATAAAAGTGACTGAAAGACCTCGAATTATGGTGAAACTTACACAAGGATTATTTTCAAGATAGATGGTGGTAAGCTTCTCTTTAGAGCCTGCAACAGCTTCTGTGATTGCTTCAAGTGATTCTATCTGGTTGTCATTAAGCCATAAATCTTCCAACCTAAAGGTTAAGGTAAAGTCAGGATGGAGAAAACCAAAAGACAAATATCAGTCTGAAGCAATGGAAAGGTGAATTACTTTGTGAGGTTCTGAATGTCATCAACTGATGTGAGCTTGTTGTTCGACACGTCCAGTACCCGTAGGTTAACTAATGCACTCAAGCCTTCCATTTTTGAGATACCATTATGGCTCAAGTATAACTCTTCAAGAGCAACACAGTCCTGGGCACATATATTTTTCATGCATCAGAAGAACACAATGCGTAATAATGAGGATATCTGAAGAAAGGTAAATAATACACACCTCAAATCCTTTCATAGAGGTCAAACGATTGCTCTGCAAACTAATCTTTTTAACACATCTGAGCCCACACAGGTTGACAACTTTGATACGGTTTCTTCCAAGCCACAGTTCTTCTAATTTTGTGAAGTTTTCCATATTTTCCATTACCTGAAACCTCAATGCTTTAACATTCATTTCTGAAGCACTGTAAAGCGATTAGAAAATATCAGAGGGGGTGGGACAAACCCGCAATCTATTAGACCCCAGTTCAAGAATCTGCAAATCGTGTAAGTGTTCAATCTCTGCAATCTTGTTAACTTCATTTTTAGACACATAGAGTTCCTTCAGTGTGCTAGAGGCCTTTGATAATCCTTGCAACGAAGTGATTTCATTGAAAGATAAATCGAAAACCAAAAGCTTTGAGAATATGCTGATATCTGGAACTTTTGCTAGCTTGTTATCTCTGAGAATCAGCTCCTGCATAGTAGTGGAACGTCTATCATGATGATCAGCTAATAAACTCCAATTCAATTCTAGTGAAAATCAAAGCTGAAGAATGTTATGTAATTATACAACAAAAATTACAAAAGGAAATTAGCCAACACAATTGGTTCCATCGCCAAAAAAAAATATATTTAGATGCTGAGAAACAAATCAAGCAGAGAGCATATTGACATAATTCATCATTTACAAATCACTCAATAATATTTCAAAGAAAGAAAAAAAAAATCCAGAGAGTGGAGAAATCACCTCGAGATCGGACAAGGCGTCCCAGCGAGACAAAGGCTCGACGGCGGAATCATCAATTAGGTTCTGACGAAGAGAAAGCTTCTTGAGGGTGGAGAGCTGAGCGATCCTCGAGTCCAATCCCGACAAACGATTCGCCGTAAGGTCCAGCTCCGTCAGGGTCGGCGGCAGCTCGACCGAATCGAGGCTGTGGAGCTGACAGCTAGTGAGATCGAGAACATTCTCCGAATCATCGATCTCCACCAATGGTTGCTCTTCCTTCTCACTGTTCATGGCTTTTTGGTTCAAGCTCAGGACGACGACGAGCTTCGTAGGGGAACTGGCCTAAGAGAATTTCTCTTGAGCTCAAAACGTCATCGTTTCGGTACAATTTGTTGCCTGTGGGGCTATTAAGATGGGCCTAAAGCCCATAGACAGGCGCTGGATAGGGCCCACAATTTTGCAATTATAAGACTCCGTTAAGCCTATAACTCACTCAAACTCAAAACCAATGACTGTTTTGTGAATTCAAAATTTCCAAATAATGTATACAATTTCAAGCTTCGATTTTTATTCAACTCAAAAGTCAACCAATATTTACAAAGGTACAGTCGACATTGTAGCTATTACTCGCACAAGAGACAAGACAAGCACACATTGGATCTAAGTCTAACTCTTTCTTCACCATACAAGAGACAAGCACACATTGGATCATCTACGCTTTGCTTGGAACACTCTGTTATACCAAATAGAATGCAAAACCATATGGAATAAATCGTATCTCTCCGGTTTAGCATGCCACAGAAAATGCCTTTGCGCCTTTCTCACAGCCATTTGCATCTTTACGTATTTCTCTTCCGGTATCGACGACAGAATATCTTTCAACCTCGGGATGTCTTTCTCCGCAACAATGACAGAGAACATGCTCCAATCAAGAACCTCAAAGAAAGGAGGCACAAAGTTGTCAGATATAATCACAGGGACACACTCGTAGAAAATAGACTCAACCACCCTCGGGCTGTTGACCTCGTACCCTTTAGGACAAATGCAGAACTTGCTGTTTTTCATCTGCTCGATGTAATTCATCTTGCTCGCCACGCCAAGCGGCATTCTCCCGAAGATTTTCATCTCCGGGTCTTTGTCTTTCCAGTGTTGTAGCAGGATCGGACGTAGGTAACCGTGCATGCTTCCAGCGTAGAAAGCCAGGGTCCGTCTCTGAGACGGAGGTTTGCCACCCAAATCACGAAGCGGGTTTTTGGCAGCTCGGACATATGTTTCGGGGAGTGAGATGTCTCTTCCAATCTTGAAGCCTGCGGTTATGTCTGCATTGCAGAGAGCTTTAATGCAATGCTCCATGTGGTGCCTCGTCTCATATGGTGCCTGTTTAGTGAAAACAAATTAATAATTGTGAATAGTTCAATCTTATAAGAAATGAAAGAGATGCATACCCAATCATGACAGGCGACAAGAAAATGATCAGCTCCACCGGTTCTGTTGAAGAAAGGGTACTTGGAACCGATTTGCTCAGTGTATTCCTTAAGAAACTGGCGTAGGTTAGTTCGGTTGTGAGAATTACGGACATAAAGCGTGTATTCTAGCATTCGTGCACTAAATGGCATATAGTATAAGTGAGCCCTTCTTGGGTCTTTTACAGTGTAATGCTTGTTTGCTTCCATCAGCTTCATGAACCATCCCTCTGATGCATACAACCCCTTGAGTATCGGAGTGTGGAAAATGGGTCGGTTTCCTTCCTTATATACATAAACCTTGAGCATCCGTTCCATAAGTTCGTAACTCCTGAGTCATAAATAACTGAATCGGGTATGTCAAGATTACCTTTTTATAGGAAAATACTACCAAACAGATCAAAATTTGTTAACTCAAAATATAACATAACTCAGCCTTCCTTTCTCTCTCTTCACAATACTAACTTCCGTATAGATAATTATCTCATTTTAGAACCATATGATACGGGATTTACTAAACTATCATCTAGCATAAGACTAACGATTCTAAGACAGGAATGTCGAGAGAATTCATAAATTCTCGTATGTAACATTACTCTTTTTCTTAACCAAGAAGCCTAGTTTAGATCAAGGTCTAAGTTCTGCAGTTTTACCTCTTGAACATGGAAACATTACGGAAGATTGGAGGGTACAGTTCCCGGTCAATAGTTACAACAGGAGCATTTTCTATCTCCTTCCTTGCAGCCAATATCTCCTCATCTCTCCTCGAAGACCAACGCGGTCGCTACATTTTCAAGTAAAATCTGTTCAATTTGCATCGTAACTAACTTCAGTTCCACAGGTAAAAAAAAGAAACTAAAAGGACAGCAGCATCACGTACCATTGCGCGTGAAGATCTACGGTGCCTTGCTAAAATCCGATTCATCTCATCTATTGTAGTCACAGTTTTTGGTGGAAGATCACACCGCATCTTCTTCTTCTTACCCACTTGCTTACTAACAGGCAAGGAACTATTTCCTAAAACGGGAGCAGCTATGGAGTTGCCTGCATTTAACTTAGAGCTCTTCACGTTCTTCTGACTTTGCAATGAAACGTTTTGCTCCTGATGTCCATGATTACTGGTTAAAAGTCCCTCATTCTTCATTACCACTTTCTCTGAAGGAAATAGACTGTCACTGTTTACAGCCACTTCTTTGATGATGACACTGTCCTTTGCATCTTCAAAGCCTTCAAAATCAACACTGTCAACAAACCCTTCATCATCCTCTGAATCATTCCTTGGACCAGAACCTGTAACATACCCATTTTTCTCCAGGCCTGCAGGAACCTCAGATACGTTAACCGCAAGTGTGTTCCTAAGAAGAGCGTTTTGTGATGGATTCATCAACGTATTGTTCTCATTGGGTAGTTTAAGTCTTCTGCCATCAGGCAACAGATATCTTCCATATGAAAGTAACAAGGAGATATGAGTTAGAGCCAAAATCCCAACCAGAATTGCCCATTTCCGCTTTCCACTTCTGGAAAACTTTCGGAGCTCAGATCTAATCTCCATGAGAGGAATTCACACAGATTCAAACCCACAAAACAGTCAAGTTCCTGTATTTAAGAGCGACCTTCATAAACTTATCCTGCCGACACATTCATGAAAAAAAAAAGAAGGAAATCTCAAATTGGAAATGGAACAGCGTTGGTCAACTCATAGTAAATTGAAACTCTCGACTGAAGTTACGAGCGATATCGTTGTGGGAAAGTTGCTAAAAAGGGAAATAAATTCAAGAAACCTTGAAGTTGAAAAGACATGGAGATCGGAGTTGAGTTGAAGACAAAGGCAGACAGCTCCGACATAAGTGAAGTGGTCTTCTTCTCTGTGACGACCTTTTTGACTGATGGGGCCAATAATGGAGGCCTATTAGTTTGAGGCGGTTAAAAAACCAAACCGAACAAAAATTCATCAATCTAAAACCAAACTGAATTTCATAAACAATCCAAATTGTATAGCTTGAGAAAATTTATACCGAAAAAATCTATTAAATCAATCAGTCGGGTTTGCTGTGGTTTACACTGAACCAACCAACCGGTTCGAAAGTCACTCCACCAATTCACACTGGCCGTGTTCATCATTGTGCTCTGGCCAGAAAATCAAAACACAAAGTAGTGAAGCAATTTCCTCAGCTACGGCATGTGCGTGTGCGGATCTTGCAATCAATCCCTACTTCAACCATCGCCATGAAGGTGCTTTCAGGAGCTTCTTCATCTGTTTTCAGATCCTCAATCCTCGTCATCTTCCTCTCCGTTTCTATCTTCTGGCTCCTTCCCAGCACTTACCGTCCCCAGCAACAAAATCTCAATCCGCAGAACGTAACTAGCTCGGAGCCTGAGATTTCTGGGAAGACCAACTACATAATCCGATTTAAGCAGTACAAGCCGGCGAAAAACCATCGAGTTTACCTCGAATCGAAGGTCCGATCCGGTGGTTGGGGTTGGATCGAGAGGAATAACCCGGCGGCGAAATATCCGACAGACTTTGGTGTTCTATGGATCGAGGAAAGTGGGAAAGAGGCCGTGGTTGGAGAGATTGAGGGGTTAGCGATGGTGAAAGACGTGAACGTGGAGTTTAGGTACCAGAGAGTTTTGCTTGGAGGATCTTTTCTCGACGGGAAAAAACGTCCGGGAAAGATCTTCACTTCGATGTCTTTCGAAGAAGGAGCCGAACACTCTGCGAAGGCGGCTACATTTAACACCACGTTAAACTGGAGTCGACATCTTCTAGGTCAGGTGAGAGATTGTCAAGTTATTGCTACTCAATATCTGCTTTTGTTTGCTCAATCAATGCCGCTAAAATAGTGTAGCCGAATGCAGACACCAAGTTATGTGCCAAATTTCATATCGTAAACTTTAAGTGAGTTCTTTTAAAAGTTACACTTTTTTTTTTCTATTTTGCAGAAGACTCAAGTCACATCCATGTTTGGAGCAGATGTTCTCTGGAAGAAGGGGTACACTGGTGCTAAAGTCAAAATGGCCATATTTGATACTGGAATTAGAGCTGACCATCCCCATTTCCGTAAGATCAAGGTACCACTATTAGGAGACAGTTATAATAACCATACTATTTCTCAAAGGTTTCAGATAAGGCTAGCGTTTAAAGCTACTAGTTTTCTTTGATCTTGTACTTTTCTTGTTAAGCTCTAAAGCTGGTATTGACGCAGTAACTTTCAGGAGCGAACGAATTGGACAAATGAAGACACTTTAAATGACAACCTGGGCCATGGGACATTTGTTGCTGGTGTTATTGCTGGTCAGAATTCAGAATGTCTTGGTTTTGCCTCAGACACGGAAATCTATGCTTTCCGAGTGTTCACAGATGCCCAGGTAATGCATGATCACGCAACAGATACATCATCTTATGTTGCAGAAGGGGTTTACGTTCCTTCAACTAAATTAACTCACTCATGATCCAATAATTTCTGTCTGTGTTTCCCCAGTTACAATTATTAAGATTCTGATATTTGTTATCTTTATTTTGCTCTCAATACAGTATAATTGACGCCTATATATTGGAGTGTCTTCCTTTTCTCTTTGTCCCCTCTTCACCTTACTTTCCCAGATATGCAAGTTATCTTAATCAAATAGGTTATGAGAAGTTTGCGCTCAGCTTGTTGCAGGTATCGTACACCTCATGGTTTCTTGATGCTTTCAATTATGCCATAGCAACAAATATGGACGTATTAAATTTGAGCATTGGGGGACCGGACTACTTGGATCTGCCTTTTGTAGAGAAGGTAATGGTTCCTTGATCTCTTGGTTGAAGTTAGTATTATCCTGTTGAGTCAAGTGGTGGGGTGTTTCTCTCTAGGATATATGAAATAGTAGTGTGTTCCAGATGTGCTGATTATCTTTGAACAGGTGTGGGAAATAACAGCTAGCAATATCATTATGGTGTCTGCAATTGGAAATGATGGGCCGCTTTACGGAACGTTAAATAATCCAGCTGACCAGAGTGATGTCATAGGTGTGGGTGGTATTGACTATGATGATCACATAGCTTCGTTTTCATCTCGTGGCATGAGCACCTGGGAGATTCCTCATGGGTACTGTAGTTCTTTGCTGCTTCTACTTCCTGTTTTACAAACTCTACAGTCGAGAGAGAGAAAATGTTTATTTTCATGCAAATCCTAACTTAAAAGAATTTTGCTTACAGATATGGCCGTGTCAAACCAGATGTGGTTGCATATGGCCGTGACATTATGGGGTCCAAGATCAGCACTGGTTGTAAAAGCTTGTCTGGAACAAGTGTGGCTAGTCCTGTTGTTGCTGGTATTGTTTGCCTGCTCGTAAGTGTTATTCCTGAAGCTAGAAGGAAGGATCTGCTCAATCCAGCAAGCATGAAACAGGCATTGGTCGAAGGTGCTGCTAAGCTTTCAGGTCCTAATATGTATGAGCAGGGTGCTGGAAGAGTTGATCTGTAAGTTAACTTACCCATGTCTGTTATCACCATTGGATGCTTTCTTTTTATTTCGTTCCTATGTACTTTATTTTTGTATTCTCTAATTTTCTTACATTTTGTCAGATTAGAATCATATGAAATTCTAAAGAGCTACCACCCCCGGGCAAGCATTTTCCCGAGCATTCTTGATTATAATGATTGTCCATATTCCTGGCCCTTTTGTCGTCAGCCACTATATGCGGGTGCTATGCCTGTCATTTTCAACACGACAATTCTAAATGGTATGGGTGTCATCGGTTATATCGAAAGTCCACCGACATGGCATCCTGCAAACGAGGAAGGAAATCTTCTGAGCATTCACTTTAAGTACACAGATGTTATATGGCCTTGGACTGGCTATTTAGCTTTACACATGCAGATCAAGGAAGAAGGCGCACAGTTCGCAGGTGAAATAGAGGGAAATGTAACTGTGAAAGTCTATAGCCCATCAGCCCCTGGAGAAAGTGGGCATAGAAGAAGTACTTGTTCTCTTCAGGTGAAACTGAAAGTAGTTCCCACCCCACCACGAGCAAAACGTATTTTGTGGGATCAATTTCACAGCATTAAATATCCTCCAGGTTATATTCCAAGAGACTCTTTGGATGTCCGCAATGACATTCTTGATTGGCATGGTGATCATCTGCATACAAACTTTCACATCATGTTCAACATGTTACGTGATGCTGGGTACTACATCGAGACTCTTGGCTCTCCCCTTACATGTTTCGATGCGCAGCAATATGGAACTCTTTTGATGGTTGACCTTGAAGATGAATACTTTCCAGAAGAAATTGAAAAACTCAGAAATGACGTTATCAATACAGGACTGGGTCTGGTTGTGTTTGCTGAGTGGTATAATGTCGATACCATGGTGAAAATGAGATTCTTCGATGATAATACACGCAGTTGGTGGACTCCAGTCACTGGAGGTGCAAATATCCCCGCACTTAATAACCTTCTTGCATCATTTGGAATTGCGTTTGGAGACAAAATTTTGAATGGGGATTTCAGTATTGATGGTGAGCAGAGTCGATATGCTTCTGGAACAAACATAGCCAGGTTTCCTGCTGGTGGGTTTTTGCACAGTTTTCCTTTACTGGACAGTTCTGAGAGTGGCGCTACACAGAATCTACTGCTAACTGGGTCATCGAAGGTAATGAGAAACCACTTGTTTTTGCTTCTAACTGTGCCTTGCATTTTCTTTTATTGAAATGCAGTTTTTTTTTTTTTGGTGATAATGGGGCTCTGTTTACAGGAAGACCCTGCTGTTCTTGGGCTTTTAGAGATCGGTGAAGGTAGAGTTGGTGTTTATGGAGACTCAAATTGCCTGGACAGTAGCCACATGGTCACCAACTGCTACTGGCTCCTGAAGAAAATGCTAGATTTTAGTAGTTCAAATATCAAAGACCCTGTACTTTTCTCAAAATTTTCTAAGAGATATTCACCTGTAATCACAGACGAGAACCAACTGCCATCTCGGAGAACTGATGTTAATTTTTCGACATACTCTTCTGTGATCGGAAAGGAGCTAATCTGTGAGAGTGACTCCAGATATGAAGTTTGGGGAACTAAAGGATATAACTTACATGTCAGAGGAAGGAACCGTAGATTGCCTGGATATCATGGCATTGATTTGGGTCGAGGATTGAATTTCACAGTGGAGAAAACAAGACCAGCACGTTGGAGATCAGCTTGGAAAGGAAGTGAGCTAAGTTCTTCCAGGAGCAAATATCTGGGAGTTTTCAACAGAGACGAGGTAATTCAAGTTATCTGCCAGTTTTTCTAATCAGTTTTTGGAGGGACCAAAAGGTTTTTAGTATTTTGCTATCGAGTTGCAGATTGACATGCCATTTCTTGTTGCCACTCGATGGATCGTACCTGCTGGTGTTGCAGCTAGTGGTAATACACCAAATCTTATTAGAGATCTTTTAGTCTGTTAAGCCTCTTATTGCATGATCAAATAGGATTCTTTGTTTTGTGTTGTAGGAGTTCTAGTGCTACTAAGCATTTGGAGAATCCGGCAGAGGAGGCGTAGGCGGAGAAGAGGATCTGGGTCGAATCGATTAGCCTAGCATATAGCCGTGTACTGGGTCCAGTCGACTTTTTCTGCGTAGAGCCACCCATTTAATTTTTTGTAGCTTTTTACTGTCATTTACACTGACCACAGAATGTAGTATCATTTTTACTTTTTACAGCTGGCAATTTTTTTCTAAGGAAATCAATCTCTAAAGCTTAACTTCAAAAGCAAAGTACATGAGTTATAATTTGAGATTCTATTGTGCATGTATCATAGATTTCTACCTCCTTGGTTTATTATGACAACCAAAAGCAGGAGGCAAAACTAGGAAAAAACCAAAGTATGGTTGTTAAGTGCTATATTACTTCTTAAAGAAAACCCAGGTCCACTATTAAACCTTAAAAAATTTTAAATTTGAATAAAGAAACAATTTGTATTTTAGAATAAATCCTACATACATAGTCATAACCAAGAATAGTGTGAATTTGAAATTCAAATACGGGCCTGGAACCAGGCTTAGCTTAAAATAGGACGAGGCTGATATGGTCCCCCACCGGCCACCACACCTAAACCTTACTTTTACGTAAAAAAGGGAAATTAGATTAGCCAATACTCATTCACTTCCAAACATCTGACCCTTTTTCTGCATTTAAAAAACAGTAAACGAACAAATTACTTCTTCTTAAAATTGCATTTAGAAAGTCAGTTCTACCAGCTGAAATTGAATCATGCTAATTTTGTTTGCTAATTTTGTTTCTTCAGCATAAACAAAACAAATCCTTGTTAAAGAAATTTACCACAAGTATTCGAAACTAGATGGTTTTGAAAGATTGTTGATTAATACAAATGTAATACCACCCTCGAACTTCATTGGTTACTTATATATGCCACAATGAATAAAAATTGATATTTAGAAGATCCGAGGTAGCAATCTAACTGGTGTAGGAGCGAAAATACTTAAACTTTGTGGTTCAATCAACCCCATAGACTAACATTCATTTGTTGTTGTAGACGGTAGACCTCCATTGGTCGATTTGCATTGTAATATATGCAAATAGATATAAATTGGTTCAGTTTTATACAACTATTTTCTTAGAAAGGAAGCCAACAAAATATACACGGGGGATTTTGGAGATGACGTGAATGCTTGATGTTGTTTGCAAAGAACATATATACAACGTTTAGGTTGTACAATATCAGTATGATCTCAATCTACTAATTTTAATAGATAGCAACAAAACAGCGACGGATCGTATGTCTCTAACTCTCTATACATCTGTTTTCTTGATGTTTCATTTTTTTCAATTTTCATTTCATTTCTTTAACTAAACCAAAGTGCACAATAGTTCAAATACCCCCAAAGTCATGGCGAATAGATGGAATGTTTTCCTTTTCAACAAAAGTATTGAGGTTAAAAAATATACTATTAGCAGGTTTTGGAACTAATGGTTTATTGGTAAATGTTTCTTACTTTTTTGTGAAAAAGTCAAATTTCTTTTTCTTTCTAAATGTCGACATCTTACTAATATATATATTTTACTTGCACATATACTGTAATTTGACTTTTGAGTGATCGTCGTGCACTACCTTTCTGCATAATTGTCATTTTCAATCATTTATTTCGAATTACGTTGCCTTTTTGAATAAAACGATGGGATCACACTCAAGATTCAATAACCGATGCACGAACTCCAGGGATAAAGATTCAATTAGGATTATTAAAACAAAGAGATTGTAATTTTGCAACTTTAACGAAAAATTGGTTATTATCACTCACTTAAAAATTATATTACACATAAAAATTCTTTACATGTAATATCAATGTATTTTAACAACAAAAAATGAATCAATAAACAATACAAAATAAGAAAATATACAAGCAAAAAAAATGAATATAAAAGAGAAAGTCTGCTCTTTACATATTACAAAATGTCAATTAAACTTGCCTGATGATGAGGAATTCGAAAAGCTAAAGAGAACTGACTTTTACAAGATGACAAGCATTACAAACACAGCTTATGTCAAAGAAATTCAAATTTAAAAATATTTTAACTTAGTAAAAAAAAATAAAATAAAACCGAGCAAAGAAAGGTCAAGCGTCTATTGGTAAAATAAAAAACAGAAAGAAAAGAGCAAGAAGGAAATTCCAACCGTATATTTTTGGTGTCAGCTATTCGAATAGTTTTAAGTTAAAGACGACAAAGAAAAGACAAAAGACATTGCAGAAAGAGTAAACGTGAAAAGTTGTAATCATTAAATTATCATCAGTATTGCGAAATATGCAAACCATAACAAGAAAGTAAAAAAGAACAGAGAATTTATCTCTCCTCCCCTGAAAAGTCTTATATGACAATCCTTTAATACATACATCTTCTTTCAATAGTCATTTTCCTTCATTATCTCTCTCTCTCCATCGATATTCTCTTAGCATGGAGAAAAGAATGAGGCTCCGGGTTCCAAGAATTGTCCGGTCATCTCTAAGCTCTTGCCGACCACGAGATCTACACGACGTCGTCGAGACTTGTGCTGTTATAAGTCACACAACCTCTTCCGAGAGGTTCTTGCTCACCGAAGCTAAAGCCAAAACAACTCCACGCGTGCATAGTCACAGACACAAGTCTTATGCCTTCTCTGCGTCACCGATATTCCCTCCAAACCCTTTCTACGAAGAAAGCCGTTCGTTTCGAGATTTAAGGAAAAAGATCAAGACAAAGAGGAAGCAGAGATCGCAGTTTGGTTCCGAGTCTCTCTCTGCCTCTCGTTTTAGGTCAAGTGGGTCTTGGTGCTGGTCTTGTAGCGATGAAGATGAAAGTGACGATACAGACACACTCTTTTCTTCTAGAAGCTTCTCCTCAGAGTCTTCTAAGGGAGAGAGTTTTGCAGTGGTGAAGAAGTCAGAGGATCCGTACGAGGATTTCAGGACGTCGATGGTGGAGATGATTGTTGAGAGACAGATTTTTGCAGCGGCTGAGCTAAAACAGCTTCTTCAGTGTTTTCTATCGTTAAACTCCCTTCAACACCACAGTGTTATAGTTCAAGTGTTTTTAGAAATTTATGCCACTTTGTTCTCTCCCTAATTCATATCTCTCTCTCTCCTTTAATATCTTTTACTAAAGTACTATGTTCAACCTTTTATTCCTAGTTTCAACTAGATTCCCCTTGAAACTTTTGTCTTAGCCTTTCTCTGTATTATTGTTATCATGAACCAATTTGTGTTAAATCCGAATGAAGTTAGACTAACACTCGAACTAAACAGTTTCTTGAACGGACACCAGCCAGTCTCATGAACTGACGAGTTTCTTTGTTGATACAAAGGAATCAGGATATTTCTTCAATAACAATCTATTATTATTCATTTTGCTCTGTTTTCAGCTAATCCCTAACGAGCACTTGAAATTCTAGAAACTAACAAAGACTAGTGTCTTCTACCAATTATTCGACTAGGAAAAAACATTTCAAAAGATGACTTGTGACTGAAAACTAAACTCTGAGATAGACTTCCGATTCACACCAGTTCCCTTGATGCTATCTTCATCATGGCTTATTGGTTGGTACCACTTTGCAAAGACCAAATAAAACACGAAATCGATGGCAGCTAACACAGCAATCAGAAAATAAAACCGATCCATATGACCTTCGTTTAGATTTTCCGGTATCCACCCGTGGCTCTGGCCTCTAGCGGTTATAGCCATAACAATATTCACCATCAAGCTGCTCACGTAGTTACCTAACGCCATCGAAGCCATACACAAGGAGCTTCCCAAGTTCTTTAACCCATCTGGTGCCTGTCCATTAAAGAACTCCAACTGTCCAACGTACATGAACACCTCACTTGCTCCCACAAGCACGTACTGTGGTATCTGCCACAAAATGGAGAGCTCGCTTTCCTTTTGCCCCGGGACGACTCTTCTCAGCCGTTGGATCTCTGTTAATCCTGCGGCCACCATTGCCATTATCCCTATGATCAAACCTATCCCCATCCGCATAAGTTCCGTGGGTCTCACGTATGGAAATATGACGTGGCGGTAGATTCCTGTTGATATCAAGACGCTGCATATATCGAAGACTGACATGCTCGCTGCGGGGACGTGGAATTTCCCGATGTATGCATCCATCACATCGCCTTGCTCCACGAACAATGAAGCCATTTGCGTGAAGATCACTGAGTAGATTATAGTGCATAGCCATATCGGAAGCATCTTCATCACACATTTTGCTTCCTCTACTTGAGTTACACTGCACAACCTCCATGCACTGCTCCTTGTCCCGTTCCTATATTATATGGATCGATCAAGCAATACTCTTTAAGTTAAAAGATGACGAGTATATATATATATGAAGTATGGTATCGTTAAACTTTGGTTTATTACCTGTCATCCTCTGTAATCACTGCTGCTCTATCCAAGAAGACAAACTTGGTACTGTGAAATATCTTTCTACTTCCTTTAATTGCGGATTCAGGTCCTTCGACTTCATACAACTCCTGGTGGTTTTCGGGTCGGTCAACACTCCACTTCCGAGCAGTGGCCACGAATACCTGCGCCACACGTGGCAATGGGTTCCCACAGGGCTTGACATAACGATAACGTTTTGTTGGGCCGAGAAAGGCCATCAATGCGATGATTGCTGAGCCTAGTGACACCAAGAACCCTTCAGTCCACAACCCTCTATCCTCGAAATAAACAAGGATCGTGTTTGAAAAGAGAGATCCAACGTTGAGGGCAAAGTAGAAGTAGCTGAAAAACGCAGCTTTGGAGGTTTTGTCATTATCATTAAACTGGTCCGCACCGAAAGTAGCCAGTGTTGGTTGGTGACCTCCGTATCCAAAGGCTACCAGGTAAACGGATAAATAGAAGATGGCAACACCGAGAGAAGACGGAGTGTTGCAGATAAGGTTTCCATCGCCACAACCTCGAGGTTTGATCAAGAAAAACCAAGAAGTGAAAGAGAGGAGGCCCACACCGAGGACGAAGATGACTTGGAAGATAGTGCATGTCAAGTAACGACCCCAATAGGAGTCGCTAAGAAATGCTCCCACAAGTGAAAACATGTAAACTGTTCCCGTCCACTTGCTTACGTTGTTTGCAGCCTCTGCATTGCCTTGTCCCATAACACGCGTTAGGAACAGCACAAGGTTCACTCCCACTCCAAAGAAGGCCAATGTCGCTAACCCTTGATTTCCTGTTTCAAATGATGAATTCTGTAAGTTGGGGGTAGAGACACAACGTAAGACATGTCTTTGTCTTGGTCAAATTATGTATACAATATGTCATAGAAAGTGTACCTAGCAAAATGATTGCGTTAGTCCAGCCACCCTTGTCTCTTGTCTCCTCCTCATTCGTCTTCTTCGTAAGTTCAGAATCGTTGGACTTGACTGACACCACACTTCGATTATCTTGAACCTCTACGACCTCACCAGCTTCAAAATCTTCATCTCTCTCCCGCTCCTTGAAATTTTGTCCCATTCAAGTTTAAATTTTTTTTTTTTATATCACAAAACAATTAGCTATTGCCTACGTTAATTTAATTTATACTCCCCCACAAAAACAGTCGATTCTGAGCTTGTTCTTTTTATACTTTTGTATTGATATTCATTAAGGAAAAAACTAGACCTTTTATAGGAAAATTTAGATTGGATTCCTGAAGCCAAAGAAAAAAATGTCTACAATTAATAAAGAATCTGAACCAGCGTCAAGATTTACGTACATTTAGCGGAGCAACGTAGCCATTATTTCTCGGATCCATAGCGGCCATTTAAGGTATCTGCACGAAGTTAACATGTGATTATTAATTAGAACAATAAAAACTAGTTTAGGCGTTTCAAGCCATCCAAATAATCACATATATAGAACTGTAACTTGAGATATTTTTCATATATCTATGAATATGATGCATGGGAATTCTGCATATACATATATATATATATGTGTGTGTGTGTTTATATATTTGTTTAGGCGTTTCAAGTTATCCATATTTCAAATTCACCAGAAAGGAAAAGTATTAAAAACCTAAAATTCATGTACGATTAAAAGAGCCGACAGGTAGAAAAACTTTTAGTGTGGCAGCGGATCTGTGAGTTAAAGCTTCGATCTACACCAGTAATAGTCAGGCATCTTTTTTTTTTTATTGATTGAAGATAGGATTGGTTAAATTTATGTAAATATTGGTGGTGACTTTATAAAAGAAAAACAAAAAATTATGTACGAATGAAGAAGTATCTATGAATGCATGCGATAAGCAAAAGTTTGATCAACACAAAAAAAAAACAAATCGATGTATTATTGATTGAATCAAAATAGAACCTTTTTCGCAGTATCTCCGGCGATGGAGAAGAAGTTGTGTCGAGAATCAGAACTGGCCGAAGAAACACTTTCGAAGAAGGAAAGTTAGAAACACCTTTTGTCATTTATGGTTGAAGGATTAGTGTTTTGCAACTTTCTCACGTTTGATCAACCTGAAAGGCAGTGTTTTACTCAGATTAACAGGGAGCTAGGTTAACCTAACAATAATGACAAACTAAGTGAAGAGGCGTTTCTTTTTTTTCATATATATATAGATTTAATTGGCATCTCATGATAAAAAAAAAATTTTAAATTGCTTTAAGATGACAACAAATCTCCTTGAATAAAGGGCTGTTAAGAGAGTCGCCCAATAGAGTAGAGACTTTTTTTTTAAAGGCAAAATAACATACAATGCCGTTCTTGTTTGAGAAAATTGGGGAGCAAGAACATGGGATTTGTTATATTCTTTAACAAAAAAAATAAACATCGAATTTGTTGGACAACAGAAGACTTCTTTAATTTTTTGTTGTAGGAAATTTTTTTAACCAAATGTTTTTCGTCTAAAATGGAATATATATTGATCACAAGATTACTCCTAAATGACTGGAGTTTTGTTACTAGCTTTGGGCAAATTGACCCAAGTTTTTGGCAGAGAAAAAGGAGGAATTGATTGAGTCAAGGTCCAATTTTACTCTTCAGAACAAACAAACAGTTTTCTAAGAAGTCAATTAGGTGACTTACCATGGATTTGAAATTATTCTACAATGTCAAATAAATACGCCATCAGTATGATATATAATCACAAAAAATACATATTCAAACGAAAAAATTGTTGAAAAAAAATCATCTAAAATAGAAAACTAAATTATATATTTACTTTACTTCGAGGATAATATTATAACCGAGAGGCGATTACTACTTTTCTCAATTAAGATAAACTCAAATTAAGAACAACATAAAAAATAATGGAAAAAGTTGTTCTCGTTTTTCAAGCTCAAATCGGTAACATAAATAAATTATTTTCAAGCTCCAACCACTCTTTTGGTTGAGTAACTAAAGGAAAACTCGAAAAACATTAGAATAAAAATTAACCAAACAATTGCATAGAATTGGAAATGGTTGGAATTCTTGATTGCAAAGAGTTAAATCAGCAACACAAAACCTGATTTAAGGCCTGAAAACATGGGCTTTGCCTGGTTTGGGCTGCGAGTAAAACATATTTCAATCTTGAGCATGAAGTTTGCTCATTTACTTGACGTTATCAACTGAGATAACTTCGTAGTTGATGACTTGATGGATAGATTCGACGAAAAGAATGAAAGAAGAAATCATTCTGTCAGTGAGGAAAGGATCATGATTTAATGAACAAAGTTAAATCAAAGTTAAATTAATGGTACACTACTCTTTTCTATAATTACAACAACACTAATAAATTCTTAAGATCTGTCTTGTGTCGTTGGGAAATTGTCGCTTCCAAACTCGGTCCTAGGGGCTATTATTGCCGATTTAACCCAAAACCGTATGTAAAACAAAAAAAGTTTCAATCTTTCAGGAAATGTCGTCGTCAGACTTTACAGTGGAATCGTGTAAAGTTGATTCCGAGGAAGGTGTGAAGCTTCACACGAGAATATTCAAACCACCCAGAAACGTAGAAGTTAGCCACGATGGGAATCTGGTGATAGTGTTGGTCCACCCGTTCTCGCTCTTAGGTGGTTGTCAGGCTCTGCTCAAAGGCATAGCTTCTGAGCTGGCCTCTAAGGGTTTCACGTCTGTCACTTTCGACACAAGAGGTGCCGGAAAATCGACGGGGAGAGCTACTCTTACTGGCTTCGCCGAGGTCAAGGATGTCGTCGCTGTTTGTCGGTGGCTTTCCCAGAATCTCGATGCTGATAGGATCCTGCTCGTCGGTTCTTCTGCCGGTAAGGTTTCTTTCTGTGCATTCAATTCTTAAAGTTTCCCCCTTTTTCCTTTTTTTGTTGATCTGGGTTTAGTCTGAGTGTGATTGGAAGTTGAATCTGATGCTCTGATTCGATCTGGTAATGCTTCTTACATGTTAAATTGAGGGCATTGCTCTCTGTTCAAATGGATATTGGAGCTGTTTCTGATCTGTATGGTTTTGTGAAAAGCTTAACTCGGTGTGTTCCTTTTGACCCTTTTGCTCCCTATTCAATTCTCATAAGTCATTATCATATGGATTGATGGTAGAATGATTGGTTCAAGGTTATGCGTTGTTTGAAGTTTTCCATCCAAGTTGCCAGCTCCACTGTAGATGAAATTCTCCTTGTGTAGATTAAGCACCTTTCTTGTTCCTACTTACTGTTTTCCACACTCGGATGGATCTCGTTTTTGGTTTGGGTCAAGATGATAAAGTTTAGGGAGTATACATGGGAATGGAATAAGACAGTTCAATCGTCTGTGGACAGAAGAAGATTGGCATTGTTTTTAACTTTGAACAGATTCAATTTAGAGTTGTCTGGGTGGTTTTGGGGTAGAGTGTGTGGCTTTATCAGATGTTACACTTTCTCTGTCTCTGGTGAAGTAAAGGAAGTTATGGTTTGTTCTTCTTAACTCTTATGCGTCTCATGGTGCGTCCTTGCGCACTAATCCTACCTCCCTTTTCGATGTGTTTATGTGATCTACCATTGTGTTAGATTTTTAATTGTTTTTCCTTTATTTCTAGCTGAGTATAGAACAAAGAACTCTTCTGATGGATAGTCTGAGACAAATTTGATATTTCATGCCAACTTCTTTATATTATTGAGCTATTGTAAACTGAAGTTAGAGTCTGTGGCAGGTGCACCAATCGCAGGATCAGCAGTGGAGCAACTAGAGCAAGTGGTGGGATATGTGAGTTTAGGATACCCATTTGGTCTAATGGCCTCGGTTCTGTTTGGGCGGCATCACAAGGCTATTCTCTCATCCCCTAAACCCAAACTCTTCGTTATGGGAACACAAGACGGCTTCACTAGCGTTTGCCAGCTCAAGAAGAAGCTTAAATCTGCAGTGGGACGCACCGAAACACACCTCATTGAAGGCGTTAGCCATTTCCAGATGGAAGGACCTGAATATGATTCTCAGATGGCCGATGTCATTTGCAACTTTATTTCATCCCTGTAATATGTTATATGCAACCGCATGATATCCATGTAAGAGTTAGACTTAATTTGTACCACATCATACACAAAGGAGGATTATAATCTTTTGCAGATGTTGTATATTCATATAGTGGTCGATGGCAAACAACATATATTATCGAATCCTTTAAATTGACAATGGTATGATCCGGGTTGGTTAAATCACTTGATATCCTCACCTTTCAAGACCCTGTCTTCAAGTGTTGGCCCTGATCTCAGCAGCCCAAGTTAACTTAGACAACTGATTGCGAAACAAATCATTTACATTCTAACAAAAAATTATCATAAAAATATTTAACTTATTTTTCAATGAATCTTGTAGTTTGGTAAAATGAACTACACGACATAAAACATTGAGTTAACTAAAGAGATGATATAGATGATCAAAATAAACAGACATCATATAGAAGAAAACACTGTTAGAATCTAGGAAGTTTAGTTCCGGTGGCCAACCCCAAAGTGAAACCTTCCGGTGTGTTTATCGTTGAATGCATATTCAAGGCGAAGAGGCCCTAACGGAGAATCAACACGCACCCCAAAACCATACCCGTAACCACTTCCCGGTTTCAGCCTAGCTCCCGCAGGATCACCTAATCAGCAGAAAATAACAAAGATGAATATCATGTCACTTGTGAGATTCTTAAGCTTTTACAAGCAATATGGAAAAAGCCTAGTCTGTACCTGGGACGGTGGGTCCTGATCCCAGATCAGTACCATAATCCGTAAAAAGGACACCCTCGACGGGTCCTCTCTGCGCAAAAAGGCAAGAGTGAGGATCATAATATTCACACAATTGGGAAATGAGATCTTAAGGAATGTCAGAGAAAAATCTCACCATTGGGAAAGAGACCTCCCCCGATCCAACTACATATGATCGACCAGATCCTACAGCGCCCTCTTCATAACCTCTTACGCTGTTTGTTCCACCGATGGCGAATGCTTCATGAGGTGAAAAGTTTCCCACCACATGTCCACCAGACAGACTGTAAAAATGAACAAGGTGAGGTAAGCTATATATAACTTGGGAAATGATGGTTAGAATCTCAAAATGCGAATAGAGATTAAGGAAACTTTTTGCTGCAGGGAGGATACCATACCTAAATAGAAAACGAGTTGGTCCAATGTGTATGCCTTTCCTGGTACGAGCATTCACTCGATTAAAAAATAACCATTCGGGTAAAACAGGAAGCCCTTGTTCCATGTTAAACGCAAACTGGTATAGAAATACAGATAAGAGTTAGACACAGAGAAAATAAGGGGAAGATGTCGTCGCCAATAGAGTATTATGACTGACCATCGTTGATCCATGGTCACCTGAGCCAGTATAAATGCTTTCGAATTTAGCGAGCAAGGTATCATCATGGGTCTTACCACTGCATGAACAGACATAAAAATAGCATGTATAAAAATTCAGTGTGGCAAATACAGCACTGGTGAAAACGGTGAGTAAAAGAAAGACATTTCATACGTTGGAACATATATACCTTGCGGTTAGAGGGCTACTATAGAAGTCCTTAATAATAGGGTTTCCTTGTTCATCACGAGCACCAGCATGCTAGAACATTAAAATTAAAACGAAAGATGGGAGTAATGTAGATGTAGACGTGTGTGCAAGATCCAGTGCACGCAGAACTTATGGTGGTGCATGTTAGCTCACAGCTAAAGGCTAAAAGGAGGTTCAGAAGAATGAGTTGTGACATTCTGGATTTGTTTAGGGTTTTGGCCGGGCATTCGATGGAGAGTCAAAATGTCTAAAGGGCTTTACCAGTTTGGATCTTATCAGAGGCAACAAGAACATATATAATTTAATTGCTTTAGCAGCAATATTGCTCTGGATTGGTACAGAAACTTGAAACTATTGGGGAAGAGTAGATACCTGAAAAATAAGTCCAGCAGTACCACTCCACTTTGGTCTAAATGGCCTACTGTATTCAATACCTGCTGTAACCCGACCAATTGTGAGATTGGCATTGTCTGGCTGGTTACCGTGAACAAGATTCCCCGGTGTTCTTGAATTCTAACACAATATGAAGCTAGTTAGTGTATTAGTCAACTAAGCATTCTCATTGAAATAAGCAAAAGAACCAGAACCAGTAAAGGTTTTACCTGGACCATAATAGATCTAGATGTCCTCTTGTCATCTCCTTCAATCCATGGATCAGTGTAGTTTATACGAAATATAGAGTCAATTTGACCCCTCTCTAAGGAAACGTTAAGCTTCTGGTTTCTTCCAAGTATATTACGGTGGGAATAAGCGAAGCTGCATGATATAACTACTTCAATTACACCAAAAATGTCTTTACTAAATAAAACAGCTTGGGCCAGAGTTAAAAAAATGAATCGTCACAAATAAAATATACATAATTTCCTGCTACAAAAAACAGTAATGTCACACGAATTTACCTTCCAATTAGTCCTGATAGGGGGCCACTTGTGATCCTACAAAAAAGAAATGGACGAAATATGTCGTCAAGCTACCAAAGAAATAAGTGAAACGCTATTTGTAGTAGACAAACTAAAACTTACCCGCTAGATATCCCACCACCAGCAGAGAAGCCTCCACTGGGACGCTCGACACAGTTCATTATCAAATCAACCTTCCCACTATCTAACATTTCCAGGAAAAAAAAGGGAGAGAGGAAAGTTTCAGTATCACACAGTTTAAAAACTATTGTTTTTATGCCTGATGGATGAGTAAGGCATTTCCTTTCTCCACTCATGCTACTGCACCTTAAGCACAAACTAAAACTAAAACCATTAGCTGAAAATCGAGGAAGACATTCACTCACCTCCTGCAGGTTGAGGAATAATACTAACATCTTCCATGATTCCCATTGCTAACACGGTGTCTACATCCCTCTTCCCTTGAAGCATGCTGTAGACCTACAGCGATCAAAAGCCAGATTATGCAAGATCTATTTGTAGAGGTCTATATCATCTTAGAGGCTCACGCATAAAAAAAATTTAGGTCAAAATTAGCGGCTTTCAGTTTTAGTCAACTGAAGAATGCAACTACAATATACGACCATAGAGAATGATCAAACTTAATACAAAATAAGATTTTCATAGGATTTCTTGAATAGAGTATGCCATCAGAAGTGGTTTAGCCCCGGTAAACTATGATGTTCTGGTTATCGTCTTATCTTTACATCTAAGCTAAGAGACTCCAAAAAAACCTGTCCCTTCTTTGTTGTAAGCTGCCGTAGTATTGTCTCAACCCTTGTCTTCCCTTTAGTTGGCTCGCCACTAAATATAGAAGACATCATTATCAAATTAAAATCCTAATGTAATAGTCGAAATAAAAGGAAGGTGGCAGTACCATACAGAACCACCTTCAATAGAACCAATATAAATTACATAAAGAGGGGAGGGATTGGCACCAACTTACGTCTTACGATCAAGGAATCGGATGGATATGTTGTTAACCTCTGCTTCAGCAACTTGAAGCCTTACTATACCTCCAGAAAGCGTATCAATATCAGAAACCTGCAATGGTAGACAACAGAATGACGATTCTAACCACAAACTAAACGACCGAATCCAGGATGTAAAATAGTTATGGTGTACAGAGAACACTTACAATTCCGAAAAGACCACGCTCCATGTACCAGCCATTGATCGATGTAATAGCTTCCTCCAGTCTCTTAATATTAATCACTTTCCCTACAAAACTTCACACTAACATTTACTAACAATTACCTTATCCAATTAAACACACACCAAACACGAGGAAACCAACTAACAAGTCTTAATACATTTACATGTAAACTGAGAGCAACTTCAAATGAATTTCATATTCTCTGATTCATAGCAGTAACATGTCTGATAACAGCTAGTGACCATCCATTGCGAAGCATGAACACATTTTGGTTATACTACCTACCCGTAATCTATCTTCTTCATCATTCGAGGCTTAAAAAAACACCATGTGAAAATGAACGATAAGTACGTTAGAAAAGAAGAAGAAACAAGCTAAATTAGAGGATGCGTACCAAATCCATCTTGGAAAGCTTCCTGTATGAACTTCGAAGGAAGAACATTTGCGTTTTCACAGACTAACCCACGAAATTCTTGGTTTGGTTCTACCTTGTGGCAAGAAAATGAGAATTATTTGTAGCCAAAAACACACAAAAGAGACTCTTTTTCTCCTAGAAATCTTTTTAAAAAGAGTAAATCAGAATATACCTGAAACATCAGTCGGATCCCGTCGCGTGTATCAACAGCAACAGGAGTACAAGAGCAGAAGTACCCACTTTCTATAATCCTATGTACATCCTCTTGTACCTCGCGAATGGTTAACGCTGAATTGGCTCGACAAGCCTTCAAAGCGGCCAATGCCTCCATTTCCAAGTCCTTCCTCTCGAGTTCCTCTCCATCCTTCGTTCTTACTAAGACCTCGCTAATCAGAACTCGCTCCTCCGCGTTCCGACTCACCGAGTGACCCTTCTGAAGCTGCTGCTGTATTACATCCTTCCCCTCCACGGACTGAGTCGACTCACTTGGCCTAGTTAGAGACAAAGAGGCGCAGCAAAGCAGAGGCGAGTTTATTCCGGCGGTTAAACCTTTATTGTCAGCTCCAGAGTCAGACCAAATCGATTGTGCAGGATGGATTAGCGACAGTGAGACTGAGGGGGCCAGCGAAGACTTCCCAATCATAAGCTGTGTGATTGAATTGAGCATCTGAGTCGGTGAGTTGGGTCGATTTTGGGTAAAACGTGGAGAACTGTGGCGATTCTTCAGCGATTTAAGCAGTCGACCCAGCGAGAGTCGAGTAGTTGAGAGCTGAGAGGCTAAGGTTTTAGAGCAGGATTGGAGATTGGCGAGGAAAGACTGGTCATGAGAAGACGAATGGATTCTGATAGAAGATGAAGAGAAGTGAACATCATCGTGTCTCTGCATTGTAATCGTACTCGGCGCGAAATTAAGAAAATGTTTAGAAACAAGAACAGCTAGGGTTTTTGATTCGGAGTAGAAGATGATGGGTGAAAGAGACGCGAGATTTTGATATTTTTCAGCTTTTATTATTTTTTCTTTTTCTCCCTGATTTTACAAATATATGTAAGAGAGAGAGTACATTTGTATCTTTGTTAAATTTTAAAATTACCGAGTTTTCAAAAAATTACAACTATACATCAATTTTGGCCAAAAAAATAAAAAAAAAAGTTAGACCAATCATATGTTCGTTAAATATGTAATTATTATTTTTAACCCTCAAATTCTTTCCTACATACTCATACAAACTTTAAACAAAGAAAATGCCAACTGTAAACAAATATCAGAAAACAACACCAATCAGATTATGTTTGTTTCTGTTATCGTCGGTTTAACAAACAACATATGATTTGGGTGTATAAATTGAATTTGCCATGTCTAAAAAGACTAAAATGTATCTTTAATTTTGATAATGCATCTTCTTCTTACAGTAGTTTTTTATCAGCGCTATATTAAGCCGTAGAGAAATTGACGGTGGGATGATGCATGATGGAGCTTTTCTAGTATGTGAAGACAAATGGTTGAAACTCAGCCATCACTAAGTCTCAGCCACTAAAACTTTGCATACCAAATATAGTTTCGTCTTTGCACTAACCAAGGCAAGACCGTACAGAGACAAAATCAAAAAAAAAAAACAAAGAGAAAAGCAGTTTGCTAAATGATTTTCTTCTTTGTCGGTAAAAAGAGTGTGGTAATTAGGTGAAAAATATGGAGAGAGTCGCGGTGAAAGCAGAGAGGAAAGAGCTAGGGATATCATGCATGCTTAATACAGAGGTTGGTGCAGTCCTTGCGGTAATTCGTAGACCCCTTGCAGAAAGTTACCTTTCTCCGCAAGAAACAGACCACTGTGATTCATCAGTCCAACAATCTCTCAAATCTCTAAGAGCCCTTATCTTCAATCCTCAGCAAGAATGGCGAACCATTGATCCTTCCGTTTACCTCTCTCCTTTCCTTGAAGTTATCCAAAGCGATGAGATCCCTGCTAGCGCCACAGCTGTCGCTCTCTCCTCGATCTTGAAGGTCCTTAGAATCGAGATTTTCGATGAGAAAACTCCTGGTGCTAGAGACGCCATGAATTCCATCGTTTCAGGGATCACAAGTTGTCGTCTTGAGAAAACAGATTCGGTGTCTGAAGATGCAGTGATGATGAGGATTCTTCAAGTTTTGGTCGGAATCATGAAACATCCAGCCTCGGTTCGTTTGTCTTTTAACTTTGAATATGTTTTGTTTTTGGTTTAAATCAAAACTGTCTAATGAGATGTGAATTAAACAGGAACTATTAGAAGATCAAGCGGTTTGCACAATCGTTAATACATGTTTCCAAGTGGTACAACAATCTTCTGGTAGAGGAGATTTACTACAAAGAAACGGAAGATACACAATGCACGAGCTGATTCAGATCATCTTCTCTAGATTACCTGATTTTGAGGTCAGAGGAGATGAAGGTGGTGAGGATTCAGAATCTGACACTGACGAAATCGACATGAGCGGCGGGTATGGGATCAGATGTTGCATCGACATTTTTCATTTCTTGTGTTCGTTGCTCAATGTTGTTGAAGTTGTCGAGAACTCGGAAGGGACAAGCGTTCACACCGCAGACGAAGATGTCCAGATTTTCGCTTTGGTTCTAATCAATAGCGCGATTGAGTTAAGTGGTGATGCTATTGGACAACATCCTAAGCTTCTTCGGATGGTTCAAGACGATCTGTTTCACCATTTGATCCATTATGGAGCTTCTTCAAGCCCTCTTGTGCTCTCCATGATCTCTAGTTGTATACTCAATATTTATCACTTCCTCCGCAAGTAAGTCCTCTGTTTTCTCTTAAATTTAAACCTAAATGCTGAAATTGGTGTTTAAAACAATTGATTGAGGTCTAAATCTTCTTTCTTTTGCTCTCAACTTAGTTTGACCATGTCTTATTGATACTTTTTATTAGGTTTGTGAGGCTACAACTTGAAGCTTTCTTCTCCTTCGTGTTGTTGAAAGTTACAGCTTTCACAGGCTTCCTTCAGCTACAAGAAGTTGCTCTTGAAGGTCTAATCAACTTTTGTCGACAGCCTGCGTTCATAGTTGAAGCCTATGTGAACTATGACTGTGATCCAATGTGTAAAAGTGTGTTCGAAGAGACCGGGAAAGTTCTCTGCAGGCACACCTTCCCTACCTCTGGTCCTTTAACCTCTCTGCAAATCCAAGCTTTTGAAGGTCTTGTGATCTTGATTCACAACATCGCGGACAATATGGACAGAGAGGAAGATGAAGGTGATGAAGAAGGATCCAATGCTATTAAGCCAAGCCCTGTTGAGATTCACGAGTACATACCGTTTTGGATAGAGAATCCAAAAGAGGATTTCGAGACATGGGTCGATCATATAAGAGTGAGAAAAGCGCAGAAGAGGAAGCTAGCCATCGCAGCGAATCATTTCAACAGGGATGAGAAAAAGGGTTTGGAGTATTTGAAGTATAACCACTTAGTCTCAGATCCTCCTGATCCAATGGCATTAGCTTCATTTTTCAGATTCACACCTGGTTTGGATAAGACAATGATCGGAGACTACCTTGGAGATCCTGATGAGTTACATCTCAGTGTTCTTAAAAGCTTTACATATACATTTGAGTTCACGGGAATGAATCTTGATACCGCATTGAGAACGTTCCTCGAGTCGTTTCGGTTACCTGGAGAGTCTCAAAAGATCGAACGTATGATTGAAGCTTTCTCTGAGAGATTCTACGAGCAACAATCATCAGAGATCTTTGCAAGCAAAGACACTGTTCACATTTTGTGCTACTCGCTTATAATGCTCAACACGGATCAACATAATCCTCAAGTTAAGAAGAAGATGACAGAAGATGAGTTTATCCGCAACAACCGAGCAATCAACGCGGGAAAAGATCTTCCGAGAGAATACCTTTCAGAGCTTTTCCAATCCATTTCAACAAACGCATTCGCTTTATCAACACATTCTGGTCCGGTGGAGATGAATCCAAACAGATGGATTGAGCTTATGAACAGAACAAAGACGACACAACCCTTTAGTCTCTGTCAGTTCGATCGACGAATAGGAAGAGATATGTTTGCAACCATTGCAGGTCCGTCCATAGCAGCTGTTTCAGCATTCTTTGAGCATTCAGATGATGATGAGGTGCTTCATGAATGTGTTGATGCTTTGATCTCTATAGCCAGAGTTGCACAGTATGGTCTTGAAGACATTCTTGATGAATTAATCGCTTCTTTTTGTAAATTCACAACGCTGCTAAACCCTTACACCACACCTGAAGAGACTCTGTTTGCGTTTAGTCATGATATGAAACCGAGGATGGCTACTCTCGCGGTTTTCACGTTAGCTAACAACTTCGGCGATTCTATTAGAGGAGGGTGGAGGAACATTGTGGATTGTCTCTTGAAACTCAGAAAGCTTCAGCTTCTTCCACAATCTGCCATTGAGTTTGAGACCACAGATGAAGAAGCCTTAAACAATGGTGGATCAGAACTTGACTTAAACGTTGTTCCGAACCAAGACACGAAATTTAACAGAAGACAAGGCTCTAGTTTGATGGGAAGGTTCTCACACTTCTTGGCGTTAGACAGTGTGGAAGAATCTGTGGCTCTAGGAATGAGTGAGTTTGAGCAAAATCTTAAAGTCATAAAACAGTGCAGAATCGGTCAGATATTCAGCAAAAGCTCTGTGTTGCCAGATGTTGCAGTGTTGAATCTAGGCCGTTCTCTAATCTATGCAGCTGCAGGGAAAGGACAGAAGTTTAGTACAGCGATAGAAGAAGAAGAAACTGTCAAATTCTGCTGGGATCTTATCATAGCTGTGGCCTTATCTAACATCCACCGATTCAACATGTTCTGGCCAAGTTACCATGAATATCTACTTAATGTTGTAAACTTCCCTCTCTTTTCTCCCATTCCGTTTGTTGAAAAGGGTATTCCAGGTTTATTCAAGGTCTGCATCAAGATTCTGGCCTCTCAGCTTCAAGACCATATACCAGAGGAGCTTATCTTCAGATCCATAACGATAATGTGGAAGATAGATAAAGAAATCATCGACACATGTTACGACACAATAACAGAGTTTGTCAGCAAGATCATAACAGAGTACTCTGCTAATCTTCATACTCAGATTGGTTGGAAAAGCGTTCTACAGCTACTTTCTTTGTGTGGAAGACATCCTGAAACCAAAGAGCAAGCCGTGGATGCTCTCATCGGTTTAATGTCGACCAACGCCTCGCATCTCTCGCAGTCAAGCTATGCTTATTGCATCGATTGCGCCTTCAGTTTTGTGGCTCTAAGAAACAGCTCTGTTGAGAAGAACTTGAGAATCTTGGATCTCATGACGGATTCTGTTACAATGCTGATAAAATGGTACAAAACTGCCTCTACTGAGACTGTGAATACCTATAGTGTGGCAAGTAACACAAGCAGTTCATCATCTGCGGAAGAAAACAGCTTGAGAGGAGTTAACTTTGTTCACCATCTTTTCCTCAAACTCTCTGAGGCGTTTAGAAAAACGACACTAGCACGCAGGGAAGAGATAAGGAACAGAGCAGTGACGTCTCTAGAGAAAAGCTTTATCATGGCCCATGAGGATCTTGGATTCACGCCTTCAGGATGTATCTATTGCATCGACCATGTTGTGTTCCCGACCATCGATGACTTGCATGAGAAGCTTCTAGACTATTCCAGGCGTGAGAACGCGGAAAGAGAGATGAGAAGCATGGAAGGGACGTTGAAGATAGCGATGAGAATGCTTCAGAACGTGTTCTTGCATTATCTGCAACAGATTGTAGGGAGTGCTGAGTTTAGAACTTTCTGGTTAGGAGTGTTGAGAAGAATGGATACATGTATGAAGGCGGATTTGGGAGACTATGGAGATAATAAACTTCAAGAGGTCGTGCCTGAAATTTTGACCATAATGATCGGTACGATGAAGGAGAAAGAGATTTTGGTACAAAAGGAAGATGATGATCTCTGGGAGATTACTTATATTCAGATTCAATGGATTGCCCCTGCTCTCAAGGATGAGTTATTTCCTGATGAAGAGATCTAGCTTTCATTTTTTCTTACATATTTAATCGATGCAATTCGACTAAAATTAGTAGTAGATGCAGTTCTGATTAGAGGGTACAGACATATTTTTATTATCGGACCTACTTCCTCTGGTCTTGATTTGATATTCATAAATATGATAAACATGTTCAATTTTTATCATCAAACCTACTCTTCATCTTTCTCCTTTAATACAAGAGATAGTGGAGATGCCATAATAGAATTCAGAAAAATATTAATGAAACGTTACAAAAAAAGATATTAATTAAGTGTTAGTTTTATAAATGTAATCTAGAGGAATTAAAAAACAAAAAACAAAAAGGACTTTCTCAAACTAATCGTGCAAACGTAAGCCATTTGTTGTTCATTAATTTTTACTTTTTACTTTTTTCTTTCTAATTTTTGTTTTTAAGGATTATCGTTACTTTCTTACAATATACTAACGTACATATATCTACATCATTTTTAGAAAATAACATTTATTTGATATGTTGTTTAAAAAATATCATTATCTTCGACAAATACTATAATCACGGAATATTACAAAAAATCTAAACCAACTTAAGATGGAATATGTACAATATTTTGATCTAAATTGATTTCTAATGATCATATATTCATATACACTCTGTTGTGAAAGATGTTATTATCCAAATAATTACTGGCACTATACAGATATATTATAGATACCGAATCAAGTGCTGTATAGATAAGATTAACAGATTTATTACCAAAAAAAGACAGACCCTATTTACTCATCACGTTGAATAGCATCATCTCCCACTTTCTTTGGCCATCCATCTATATATAACACAACCATACTCTTCAACACAAACAACTGAAAAAGATTTAGAAAAGGAAAGAAGAAGATTTTACCTCTTGCTAGTTTGTTGTGTGTGTTCATATAAAAATTGTTTTTCTATTTTTCTTTCAATCATGGAGAGTAGTAAAACAAACTCCTCCTCGTCACCGAAGGGTCGAGGAGTAAATTTCTCGGCCCCGAGAAACTTTGCTGTTAAATTTAGATCGAAATGTAAAGAAACCTTCTTTCCAGATGATCCATTCAAACCGATATCGCAGGAGCCAAACGGTCTGATCAAAACAAAAAAGACGTTGGAGTATTTTGTTCCAATCTTTGAGTGGCTCCCAAAGTACAATCTGCAAAAACTAAGGTACGATGTGCTTGCGGGAATAACCATCACCAGCCTTGCCGTTCCTCAGGGTATCAGTTACGCTAATCTCGCCAGTATCCCTCCCATTATAGGCCTATGTGAGATCCATTTCCTTTTTATTTTTCATCATGCAACATTTATTTTATATTGAATCATATATTGCATCCTATGAGGCTATGAATATCATTAAGACATATAAAGCTGGAATTGCCGAATTGGTCATTTTAAACATGTTAAGCCATGTTTTGAAGTGATTTCGCAGAAAGGTGTAGTTCGATATATTTTGTTTTCAATTTAATAGAAAAAAATTTTCCAGTTCTGCAGATTTGTTTGTTTTTTAAGATAAATATTTACTCAACGAAAAAAAACTACGACATAATTTCTGGATTTAATTTTGAAAGTAGACTAGCTAGGAAAATATAGAAAATTTCACAAATTCATCAGTTCTCAGACCACCATTGCAGAAGAGTTTATTTAGTCTGTATATTTATTCTAATTAGCTTGTAACCATTGTAAAGTTAGTACTGAATCTGAATATACAGTGTGAAGCCACTTAAGTATGATTTTTCAATTAAGAGTGTCTTTTCATTCTCTGAAACAACTAATATAGAAATGTTACTTACAGAATCACAAAAGTAACTTTTTTGTTTGGTAACCAAAAATGATTTTTCATACTTAAATCATTATGAGAATTTTCACAATGTCCATACAGCTAAAAATTGAAATCCAAATATTCCATATATATCTAGAAAACGTTATCACTGTTTTTTCTTGTGTAACTAAAATTGGTAGAGACAAAACAGAATTTATAACATTAATAACCTAAATTACAAATGATACTGGCAGTTGTTGACCAACTGAACTTATCTCAATTCAATAATCTAATAATTCCATTTTTTGTATCTTTATAAAAAAAATATGGGAATTCAGATTCAAGCTTTGTGCCGCCATTCGTGTACGCTGTGTTAGGAAGTTCGAACACTTTGGCGGTGGGAACAGTCGCAGCATGCTCTTTGCTGATCGCTGAGACATTCGGTGAGGATATGTTGAAAACGGATCCTAACCTCTACCTTCATTTGATATTCACCTCCACTTTCATCACTGGTATATTCCAATTTGCTTTGGGCTTCCTCAGGTATTAATCTAAAGTGGCGTTTTTCCTTCTTTATTACGTTAAAAAAAAAGTTTACTTTTAATTACACGTGTGTAAATTAATTAACACATGCATGTATAGGTTGGGGATATTGGTGGATTTCCTGTCACACTCGACCATAACAGGCTTCATGGGCGGGACTGCTATCATCATTCTCCTCCAACAGCTTAAGGGCGTCTTTGGTTTAGTCCACTTTACGCACAAAACCGACGTCGTTTCAGTTCTCCACTCAGTTTTCTCCCACCGCCATGAGGTATCACTTTCAATTATAATTCTTAATTAACCAAAAATATATACAAGAGAAAACTAATGACTATGGTGGCTAATTGTATTATCCTGGGGGGGGGGGGGTGTTACTTGGTGCAGTGGAAGTGGCAAAGTGCACTTGCTGGATTCTGCTTTCTTGTTTTCCTCCAATCTACTCGATACATCGTATGCTTTTTTCTTCTCTATATCTCATTATTATTTAAATCCTTTATCCACTTATTTGAGACAAAATCATTGGTCCCTCACAAATCTTCCACTTTATTTTTATTATTATTATTATTATTTTTTTTGTTAATCATTCCTCACTTTTTTACATACCCAATCCCAACTTGACTTTTCATTTTTTTTTTGGAAAGAATTTTTTGTTTAAATTATTTATTTTTACCATAACAAATCTATTTTCCGTATTTCCACATATGCTAATCCATTTCATTTTGAAATATATGCTTGGATACTAAAAGTCAACTGCTTTTTCATGTACTGCCTCACAAGAATATAACATGTGTTGTAACTATTGCAGAAGAAGATAAAACCAAAGCTATTTTGGGTATCAGCAATGGGTCCAATGGTGGTCGTCCTTGTGGGTTGCCTAGTTGCTTATTTGGTGAAAGGAACAGAACACGGCATCCAAACAGTGAGCAATTTAATTGCATTTCTTGCAAACACATACAAACATAAACTTGAGCGAACTGGTTAAAAGACCTCAGCAACTAGGGCTTTTTTAATTAATAGTATGTTTCTGTATACAGGTTGGGCCTTTAAAGAAAGGATTGAATCCTCCTTCTATTCAATATCTGAACTTCGACTCCAAGTATCTACCATTGGTTTTTAAGGCCGGAATCATCACAGGGCTCATCGCTATGGCTGTAAATATTTATTTTTCACCATCTGATCTTTAGCTAATATTTGACCATAACTATATATATGATCTTATAAGAAGATAAAATGATTAATTACAGGAAGGGATAGCGATCGGAAGAAGCTTTGCTGTAATGAAGAACGAACAAACGGACGGGAACAAAGAGATGATAGCGTTTGGTCTTATGAACATAATTGGCTCCTTTACATCTTGCTATTTGACAACAGGTAACTAATTGATATATTTGAACTCTACCGTAAATCTTAGGTATCGGTTTTTGATATTGTTTGCGTTTGCATTTATTAGCCTTTCTTCTTTTGTTTTCAAATGAGTCCATATCTTTTAGAATTTTAAGGAAAAATAAATTTTATCATTTGTAAACGCAAACGCTATGTAGCTACCACAAAAAGAACCTCCCGTTTACGTTTGGAATTTCGGTTCTTAATTTTAAAAAACTGAAAACGTTTTTTATTTCTAAAAAATGTGAGTTCCATTTGAATTATTTCCTCACGTAAGTAAGTATAGTTTTGTGATGCTAAATATTGGCCGAAATTTTCAGGACCATTTTCAAAGACAGCAGTGAACTACAACGCAGGAACAAAGACACCAATGTCAAACGTAGTGATGGGAATATGCATGATGCTTGTGCTTCTCTTCCTTGCGCCTTTATTCAGCTACACACCACTGGTTGGTCTCTCAGCCATCATAATGTCAGCCATGTTGGGCCTCATCGACTACGAGGAGATGTACCATCTCTTCAAGGTTGACAAGTTTGATTTCCTCGTCTGCATGTCCGCTTTTTTCGGTGTCTCCTTCCTTAGCATGGATTACGGCCTCATCATTTCCGTCAGTTTTTCTGTCTTAAGAGCTTTGTTGTACGTTGCACGTCCCTCCACGTGTAAATTGGGAAGAATACCAAACTCGGTTATGTTTCGAGACATCGAACAGTATCCTGTCGCCGAGGAGATGCTTGGTTATGTCATTCTTCAGTTGGGTTCTCCTATCTTTTTTGCCAATAGCACTTACGTCCGTGAAAGGATTTTGAGGTGGATTCGTGATGAGCCTGAAACCGTCGAATTTCTTCTCCTTGATCTCTCTGGTGATTATAATTTTTTTTTTTTCTTAACATTACCAAATTATATCTCTCTTTTTCCAATTTCTTTTCATATTTTTAACTGCTAATTAAAATTGCTGTCTCTTAATTATATTAGGAGTTTCAAGCATTGACATGACCGGGATGGAAACACTACTCGAAGTACAGAGAATCCTTGTATCACAATGCATCAAGGTTAATTTTAGACCTTTCACTTTGTAAAAACTTCCTTTTGATAATTTAGGAAAACTCAAAAGGATTTTATTTATTGATTTATTTATTTTTGATTGCAGATGGTGATAATAAACCCAAGATTTGAAGTCCTAGAAAAGATGATGTTATCACATTTTGTAGAGAAGATAGGAAAGGAGTATGTGTTCTTGTCCATTGACGACGCCGTTCAAGCATGCCGATTTAATCTTTCCACCGCCAAACCCGAACCGTGTATTTAGTTATTTAGTTATAATAAAAACCGTAATTTGGGTTCAGAGCCGTGCTTAATGAACAAAAAATAAGGCCCTTTAATATTAAGCAAGTTTTAGGGCCTCTAATTTTTATATTTTTATTTAGTATATTGGTTAGTGTCCAAAAAAAAGAAAATTAGTATATTGGTTAATATATATTTTTGTGATATTTTTTGTGGTTAAAAATTTATTATAAATTAATAAAAAGCACTAATATTTTATAATATCTTATAAAATAATATTTAAATCTGATTTACAACTTATATTTTTTTAGAAATAATTAGAGCAAAATGGAAATTTTTTCTTGTCATTTGCCTTAAGCCCCTAATACTTTAAGCACGGCACTGTTTGGGTTATGTGATATTGATGTAGTGGGCTCATGTAATTCATGAAATAGTTTCGACTACACCATTGCTTCGTGGTTATGAGATTTGTATCATAAAAACACCCAGAGAGAGTAATCAATCAATGAACAAACAAAGTTTCTTATATACATCAATACATTAAGCATAATATCAACCATACCAACATAACCATCTTAACCAGTAAACCAAAAAGAAACTCATAATTAGATGGGACCTTAACAAATAAAGGACGAACACAATACCGTGATTGTTAAATAATGTTTCTGCAGTCCACCGTTTAGGGTAGGAAGACAGAATAAATAGAGTTATTTGTATCTGTCACGTTTTGACCTAACCCTGACCTTAATGAAAACATTTTCATTAAAAGCATATGCAATTTTTCTGTAATGTCTAAAACTTTTTCATCATTATGAAAATCTAGTTGTTTTTTTTTTAAAGATTAAAGGAGAAGCCAGTTTTCTTTTTCAAGTTTTGTGAAATATATATGCTTTCACATTCAATCTCCATATCATAATTTAACTTTTCAATAAAAAAAATATATCGCGAAAAAAATAATATTTTATAAGGAGTATATTATTATATAAGAACTTAAAAGTCTTCTTCAAAAACGACAAAAACAAGTCTCGGAAACGAAAAGTCTCTCCAAATCAGTAACTAAAAACAGAGAAATCTTCCAAAATTTTCCGTGGTTCTGAAGCTTTTATTTCTCAAGGCGACAATGAAGATTTTTCTCATCCTTGTCTCTTTCCTCGTCCTCTTACCTGTTTCTCTACAGGATCCGAGTCCTGGAGTCAAGGCACCGACCCGGGCTCACGCGGAGCTCACGAGTCATGGGTTTCCGATTGGGCTGCTTCCTCTATCTGTCAAGGATTACTACATCAACCAAACCTCCGGCGACTTCTCCCTTTTCCTTCACGGGACATGCAAAATCACGCTTCCTCCTGACAATTACCTCGCCACTTACTCGAATAAGGTAACGGGTCGGATTACCCAGGGCCAGATCGCGGAGCTCCGGGGAATTCGGGTCCGGGCGTTTTTCCAGTGGTGGTCTATCACCGGGATTCGATCCTCCGGTGATAATCTTGTGTTTGAGGTCGGCGTGGTAACCGCCAAGTACCCCTCGAAGAATTTCGTCGAGAGTCTTGATTGCGAAGGAAAGCGATCATCTTCTTGATTCAATTCAGGAGGTTTGAAACTTTCTCTTCTCTTAGGGTTCTACAAATTCTGGGGTTTTGATTCTGTAATTATGAATTTAGGATATTGGAGATTGATTGTTTTTTTGCCGCTTGCTTGATGTTCATTGAAGAAGGAAATTACTCTGTTTGATGACAAGATTGTAGGTGAAGTATCATCCTTTGAGATGTTTAGAGATAAATTTATGGTTTTGTTTAGGGTTTATGTTCTATTTGTCAATCGTATTTGTTCCAGTATCTGGGATTTGACTTTTGAGGTAAGTAATCTAGTTGCTAAATCTTGGATGTTAGTATCCTATAAGCCCCTCATTGTGGTCTTTGGTTACTCAATCAAGAATAGACTTTCTTACTAAGCTTTATTTAGATGCCTTGTTGCTACTCTTCGTTCTTCTTCATGCATTTACCGTCCTATATCAAGTTCTTTTGTTTTGATTTTGGCTTTTGCCAGCATCTTCCCTTCACAGTTGGACTGATCTTTTGATAGGTTAACCTGTCATGGCCATGAAAACTTATGTAGCTTGCTAAACTTAGGTAGCAGCTTGCTTTCACTAGGATCTTAACGTTTTTGCACTTAGATGTTTGGCTTTGGTTATTAATGAGCGGTTCTCGTCAACACTGCCTGCAGATCTGTGAAGGCAGGAGCAACAAGTGAAGAAAATAGTTTGTATTATATTATTCTCCAGATAAAATAAAGCTTGTAATGTAAAACCGCATCTAAACCACGACTCTATTCTTGTTTTCTTTGCAAACTAAGGGTTTCATGGAGGCTTGTAAGTTGTCAACCAAATATGGTTTGATATGGTATACAAACCTTCATTAATGGAAGATGAATTTTTCAATCTAGTATTGTTTTTAATTACAGAAAATTTCATTAACAAAATTAGCAACTAGTTAGTTATTAGTATATGTTTCTAGGAAAAAGAACGAGCATGCAAGGCTTTTAGTTTAGCTTAATGAAGGATTATGAAACAATTGAGATTCATATATGTCCTCATGTACAGATGTACTCAATGTTATCAAACACCACACACGTCTCCCTTTGCATATATCTTGTAGTGTAGTGAGGATAATTATCGACAATCGAACTTTTGAAAGAAGTTTTACTAAAAAGAATTTAAACCCAAAAAAACAATTATCAAAAGAAATCAAAAGAACGGTTGAAATTTTTTTAAGTTTTCAAGAAATTTGGAAGATGGTTATCCAAATACATGTATTGCATAGAAAACGTTTATTGAAGCTTCTTGTTTAAGTAGCCGAGATAAGCTTTTTAGAACTGAAGTTCCTGAAGTACTTAATTGTTTGTTTGTTACACGACTATGTTATAAGGAAATATTGTTCTTTATTCTCAATGCATGGTGTTTGTTCTTTTTCTTTTTGAGCTGTGTTTTATTAACAACTTTTGTGCTCTTACACAACAGTTACGTACGTATAATTCTGTATACTTTGAAAAATACAAGCCTATCAGGGGTCCCAATTATGTCAAAACCGGTCCTACACGAACACACGCGACCTCATTCATTGACCTTTTCAGTTTTATCAAGAAGTCAACGACACGAATGTTTTGCAAGGAAATAGACTGTTTTGGTTAAAGCAAGGAAATAGTCATTAATCACATAGCTGTATCAAATTAATAAAGTATCTATTACTATTAACCTGCATAACCACGTCATTTCAAAAGAGCATTAGAGAGACAGATATGAAACCCTAATCTTTTCGTTTTATCAAAGACTCTCCACAAAACTAGAAGTTGTTTGGGGGAGAGACGTCTTCTTACCACACATTTAAAAATAGCAATTGCTAAAAAAAAACCTATAAAACACGTTGAGACAAAAGCTGATTATTCAGGCATCATAATCCAAATAAGCCTGGGATCAAAATTTCTCAATTCCCCAACCAAAACAGGGGAAGGAAAAAAAAGAAATAAAAAAAAACTAAAAAAAATTACAAAAAATGAGAGCCTCAACAAGAGTCATATGGACAGTATCTGTCCTTATGCTCGCGGCTGTCTCTGAGGCCATCTTCCCTCTACCATTTCTTCCGTTCCTCCCTGGATTCAACAACGGATTCAGGGACAATAATGCGGCGGTGAAGGTAGCGAAGCCAGTGGCTCCAGGGGCAGTTGGAAAAGCCGGAGGAAGAAGGCGAGGAGGTGCTCCAGAAGCTCAGACAAATTGGGCTGGAAAATGGGAGTTGTTCTTGGAAAACTCGGGTGTGTCAGCGATGCATGCGATTCTGATGCCAGTCATCAACCAGGTCCAGTTCTACGACGCAACCATCTGGAGAATCTCAAAGATTAAGCTGCCTCCAGGCGTGCCATGCCACGTCGTCAACGCCAAGACTAACCGTATCGATTGTTGGGCTCATTCTGTTCTCGTTGATGTCAACACCGGTGCCATCAAGCCTCTTTCCGTATGTATCCCCTTAATCACAATACATAATAATATGATATCATTTGGACTTTGCATGATTAAATATGATCTTCATTTACAGCTTTCCACTGATACATGGTGTTCATCGGGAGGTCTGACCATAAACGGGACATTGGTGAGCACAGGAGGATACGGAGGAGGAGCCAACACTGTGAGATACCTAGCAGCTTGTAAAGACTGCGGGTGGGTTGAATACCCTCAGGCTCTTGCTGCAAAGAGATGGTACTCAACGCAAGCCACTCTCCCTGACGGAAACTTCTTCGTTATCGGAGGACGTGACGCTTTAAACTACGAATACATCCCAGCGGAAGGACAAAACAACAGGAAGCTCTACGACTCATTGCTCCTAAGGCAAACAGACGACCCTGAAGAGAACAACCTCTACCCTTTCGTATGGCTCAACACCGACGGTAACCTCTTCATCTTCGCAAACAACAGATCCATCCTCTTAAGCCCCAAAACAAACCAAGTCATCAAAGAGTTCCCTCAGCTTCCTGGTGGTGCACGTAACTACCCAGGATCAGGCTCCTCTGCACTCCTCCCAATCCATCTTTACGTCAAGAACCCTAAAGTCATCCCTGCAGAGGTTCTCATCTGCGGTGGAAGCAAACAAGACGCGTACTACCGTGCAGGTAAAAAGGTCTTTGAGCCAGCGTTGCAAGACTGTGCAAGAATGAGAATCAACAGTGCTAAGCCGAGATGGAAGACAGAGATGATGCCAATGCCAAGAGTCATGAGTGACACTGTTATCCTCCCTAACGGAGACATACTTCTAGTCAACGGAGGTAAACGTGGCTGTTCTGGATGGGGCTATGGTAAAGACCCTGCTTTTACTCCCATCTTGTACAAGCCACGAGCTGCTCGTGGCAAGCGTTTCAGGGAGCTCGCAGCCTCCACGATCCCACGTATGTACCACTCCATCGCCATCGCTCTTCCTGATGGTAAGGTTCTTGTTGGTGGTAGCAACACCAACGATGGTTACAAGTACAACGTTGAGTTCCCAACGGAGCTTCGCGTTGAGAAATTCTCACCGCCTTACCTTGACCCTGCGCTAGCCAACTTAAGGCCAAAGATCGTCAACAACGCAACACCGAAACAGATCAGATACGGACAAAACTTCAACGTGAAGGTCGACCTTAACCAGAAGGACGTGACCAAGGAGAATCTCAAGGTTCACATGTTGGCACCTTCTTTTACAACACACAGTATCTCGATGAACATGAGGATGCTTTTCTTGGGTATCGTTGGTGTTAACCCTGCCGGTGCCGGTTCATTTGAGATCCAGACCGTTGCACCACCCAATGGAAACATCGCACCACCTGGTTACTATCTTATCTTTGCTGTCTACAAAGGTGTTCCCAGCATTGGTGAATGGATTCAGATCGTCTGATGATGATGATGATGTTTAACCATTTTTTTCTTATGCAGTAACATCTTTATATGAAAAAAATTTCTCAGTAATACTCAGTTTTTTCTTCTATATATTTTGTATATGCCATGTTAATGTATCCAAATTCCCTGTGTTTTCTTTTTACCATTTTTCTTCATTCGGTTCATGTAAAACCTCTCGCTGATTCCTTGGTTCGTCCTAAATTTTGTATTGGAGGAAATTTTTCAGTAATTAACTTTTTGCCTCTGTTCATGGTGAGGCCAATTCATCATGTATTTACCAAAAATCATCTAATCTCTCTATTCTACAGGGATGCATATTGCCTATTCTGTATCAAGAATCGTTTACTATCAACATGGCTTTATATATTCTGTATCAAACCTCAAATTTTCCTTAAGAACTCGTTATCTCTGCTACAAACAAGAATGAACCAAATTCTCAAGAAACGGAATCTCACGCTCCTATGTTCCAATCACAGAGATGAGTAATAGGGTGCTAATTAGTGGCCAACGCATAGCCAAATTCCAAATACAATAAAAGTCGTACCTAACAAAGCAGGTCCGATTTGAGTTTCTTCCCCCAAAAGAATCCCGAACGCGGCGGTCGCGGCAAAGGTCGTGGCGTTCGTGACCGGAACTGCTATAGAGATCGGGGCATGGCTGAGGAGGGCGAAGAATGTGGCGGAGGCCGAGAGGTTTATCAGGAAAGGAACGGAGTGTTGCCAGAAGAGAAGGAGATTGATCCAGTCGCGGAGAGCAGCCAGGATTTTCCGGCGGAGATTCGATTGGATCTGAAGAGGAGGAGAAGACTCTGTTGTCGAAGATCGCTTATCCCAGGCGAGGGCGCCACGGCGGATCAGAGCGTTGGTGGCTCCCCACACGAGCCCTACCGCCACCATCTTCTCCATGTCTTCCTTCATTCTCATTCCGGTCATGAACGCTCCGTCGTGAGCCAAAGCCACCATCTCCTTTCTTTAGTTGTTCTAATGTGTATCAGTGTCTGGCTTAGTGCTTTAGAGAATTAGAGTGAATTTAAGAGAATTGAGGGAAAAAAAAAAAGAGTGAATATAAGAATTTTTTATAATTGTTATTGTTAAGCTGAGATTGCTAATCAAATTAAGCTGTAAATGTTGGAAAATGTTTTCGACATCTACTCACAAAGAAAATTGCATCTTTTTGTTGTCTATGAGGAGTCTTGTACATGTTACTAATACATTAGTCATATTCAGATTCCATCAGGAAACAATGGTTTTAGACATTACAATACAATGTTAGATGATATGCCAAATAACCAAAATAGGTCCACACTGAAATCACACTTCCCTCTTTACAAAAAAAATAACAGGAAGCAATTGACAAACAAGCAACAAGCATGATTAACCAGGTGACTTAAAACAAGACAAATTCTACCACAAATGTCATCAAACACCAAAAACTCATGTCCATATCCTAAATCAATGCCTGCGTTGTTTTATATGTACACATTCTCACACACTTTTTACCTCCTCTACTCTCTCTCTCTGCCTCTCTCTCTCTTTTATAGCTTCTATGCTCTCTTCTACTAGCCTGTTTTCACAATCAATGTCTGTCACTCGGGCTTCTCATGTTCTCTAACTTTGATAGATATGAAAATTTCTTGGGAAGAGCTCTTGGAGACTTCATCATCGGCTTCTCCTGCTCAACTTTGTGGAAGAACTCTATATCACTCATTGAGCTATGCTTCTTCGTATCTGATGACAATCTCCATCCTATGAAGTCTGACAGTTTCCTCGAGTTTGGCGTTTCTGCTGCAGCCACCTTTTCGGTTTCTTCATATTCTGATGAAAACGCAGATTCTGCCTCGCTCTCTGACCTTACCTCTGCCTCTCCCATCATTTGTCTTTGAACTAGAATATCAGCTTCAAGAACATCCTCTACTCTTGACATTATCTTCGAAGCCAGACTTTCTATTACCCTCGAATAGCTCTCCAAGATCGCTTGTCCCACGTCCTGTATTATAAACAAAACTCTTATTCAGTGTTTCACTAGATTTTGGATAATGTTGTTTGTTTGTTTTTGTTTTTTTTTACCTTGTTGTTTTTAATCTTGGAGATTTCGAGTGAGGATTGTGGGATCCCAGGGAACTGTTGTTTGAGCATAACCAAAATGGTCTCAGCTCGGACCTCGAAAAGCTCCCTCTTCTCTAAGCTAACAGTGGATCCCCACTGTGATTTCCCGTCTTTCTCTTTCTGGTTCATCTTCCTCTTCCAGATCACCATGGAGGCTTCAATCCTGTTCTTTAGATCAAGAACTTTGTATTCCGTTGACAAATCCAAGAAAGAAAAGAAGTAGTCAGGATCAAAATTTTCCTCTGTTATGCTCTTGTATAGGAAATCTCCCAAGCTTGTCTTCCCATTCTACAAGTCACAACAATTATATACATTTGTCAGCTGATTTAGCTTAGTGGAAGTAGAAAATAATAACTAGTAATCAAGAACACAACACACATCAAGAAGAAGAAGAAGAAGTAATATAACCTTTGGAAGGGAGTCAATGTAGTCATCAGGAATGCGCATTTCAGACAACACTGAAGCATTGATGGCCGTGGCGGCTTTAAGGACCTGTGCCACAGAATCTTTCTGATTTTGCAACAATCTACGTGATTCCTCGGACAAACCATCCGATGGAACCTTAACAACTGGTAACCACCAGTTCTCATCCCTCCTCCAATCTCCATTCTTCTCTGTATCCTCAACTTCTCTTGGCACATACCAAAAGTCTTTCTGATCTTTGAAGTTGTCCAAAGTCTCCTGCCAAAATGATCAATTGCATTAATTTGATGCCTACTATATATAATGATCATTCTTACAATTATTGTTATGTTTTTTTTTACAGCAAACGTTAAACCGTCGTTGAAACAATCAAGAGGTATTTGATGAGGATGCAGTTAAAAACTCACGAGAAGAACGGAGTCAAGCTTGCGTAAGGCTGGAATGTTCATCAGCAAATCATCTCTTTGTTTTGTCACCATGATCTACAAAAGAGAAAAGGCTAAGTCAGCAAAATAGTTACTAGCAGTTGTTGTTTATGTACGTAATGACTAAGAATGCATGCATTCACCTCAGTGAATGTGCCATTTTTGGCCATTTGTCTAGAAGGAACAAACTGGACAATGTGATCAACCACAGATAATAACCAATTCATTTCTTTCCTCCAAATCTCTTTTGTCTCCGGATACATAGGCTGCAATTTCATGTGCTCCCCAAACATGGAATCTGCAATTACCAAAGCCACATAATTTTGTGAATTATTTAACAAAGTCAAATAATTATTAGACATTAAATTTTTAGTTATGTTAATGTCAAATATGTACCAGCGAGGTTGGTGATGGCATTTGACAAAGCTAACGCAGAGGTTACGCCTTCCCCACCGCCTGACATGTCCTCTCCAAGCAGCAGTTTTGCGAATCTTTCCTTCATCACTTCCATATCTGAAACAGATATCAAATACATAGATGATGTAAGGAATCTAAAACATAGGAAAAATAAAATGAATATAAATATTATAAAAAAATTGGTATATTTTCTCATGTAGTCTACACCAATCCAATCTAAGTGCAATTCATATGCTACATACAATACATCTGATGGAAATATCAATAGACAATACGCATTAGGTACGTAGATTCATTAGAAATACTCTACTATATATTTGTAAAATGATGGATGACAAAATCGTACATAAGTTGGTTTATTTATTCTCTCTTATTTGAATCATATGTGAAATATTTGGTTATCTAGAAAATATGCAATATTAGTAAGTGTTAAATACCTGAAGTCCTATTTTGCTTGCCTCTACGAGTCCCGTGGGACGATGATGCAGGATTCATCCCATGCACGGCAAGTTCGTGCTCGGGGGTATTCCTGCCGTCCCCGCGAGAAGAGAAGGATGAATTTCCAGAGTTCCGACCATCGAACATCTTTCTAAAACTGAAAGATCTTGGCCAGCTTAGTTTACGTCCTAATGTCCGCACCATTCCCAATTTACTCCTCTCAATTTATCCCTCCCCACAACACACTCTTTAATTCTCTTTTCTTTTTCTTTTTTTTTTCTCAGATATTTTATAACAAACAATAAAAGAGAAGCTAATAAAATCCACAAAATGGAAGAGAAGAAAGCAAAGGAGACGTACAGATCAAGAACTAGTCCTTTTGCTCCCCCTTGTCTCTGTTCTTTCACCACCGAGTGAAACAAAACAAATCAAAAAGGCAAAAAATACTTTATGTTCTGTACTTTTTCCAATATTTTTTTGTTTTGTATTTGCTTTTGAGTTGGTGCAAATGAATGAAACGGAGAAATGTTGATGTAGTTTTTCTAGGGCTGAAGAGACAACGTGCGGTGCATGTTGTAAAAAGAAACAAAAGGAAAAATATTGGAAGGGCGGTTAAGATACTCCGACTTTTTCTTTATTTATTTTATCTTTCAACCAGCCACTTACCTCATGCCACTACACCGTGTAGTGGCTTAAGTATTTGTAAAGAGGCCTAAAGCATGTGGCTTAGGGTCGGCGGTCGCTAATCGAGACTACTAGACGATTAGGCAATTATAATATAGACTTGGATCATATGGAACAACCATAGAATTACTAAACTATTTGACTAATTTATATTTCAAGGTTTTAATAACCTTTTCAAATAATCTAAGATTACTAAACTACTAGAAAGCACTAACAACTACGTCTAACAAACTCAGAATCATCAATCGCATCAACTCTCACTAGTCAAGACAAAACTGCTCATCTACTTTGATTGAGCATTTTTTGTATACATGTAGTTTTGATGCACAAACTGCCGTGTACTCCTTTTTCCACTCTTATAGTCAACCAGTCACTTCCTCTCAATCAATGTCTCTTTTCCAATTCTCCAAAATGGAGGAACACATTACATCAATATAGTTTCTTTCTCTTTTTCGGTTTTTCACATGTTTCCAAGACATGTAAAACCAAAACAACAAAATAAACTAAGTCAAATCTACGAGAAACTCTCTCCCAGGCTTACTTCAAACTGTCTTGGTGGGATAACAAACATGTCGGAGGAGAAAAGAATATACAGAAAAGAAAATTTGGCATATACAAAAGTGGAAGGTGGTACATTGGCTTAGAAAGCTTTGAATCTACTTGAATATATAGAGCTTTGATTGGAGGGTTTGCTAGAGCTCTTGGGTGGGGGTGATTGGTGACCCAACCATCTTTCACTTCATGCTGTAAGAGCATTGGAGATAGTTATCATAATGATCTTCCTCCAAGTCTTCTCGAAAAGATTTCTTGTTACGTACTCTCTTCTTGGTCCTCGGAATCTGCAGTGCCCTACTGATTTCCCTCCTCTTAGTTTCCATCATGGTTCATGGTTGTCGACTTTCTAGTTTGACTTTTTAATAGTTTCCGTATAAGCTCATTTACAGTGTCATTGATCTCTTTGACCATGTATTTGAGTTTCCCAATGGTCTAACTTTGCAGTTTGTTATATTATTGTTGCAGTTGGTATATGTTAGGGCTACTCGGAGCTATTTTGGACGCTTGGAGCTCAAGTTGTTCTTCTCCTTTATTTGTTTATGTTCAGAAAATTATATGTTTCCCAAAAAAAAAAATTATATGTTTCCAATGTATCATCTTATTTGGTTTTGAATCAAACGTTGATAATATCTATAGCAATTTTTTTTTAAAGTAAATTATGATTACTTTTACACAATTGTACTCTAAACAGTAAATCGCTTTCAAAATTTCAGTTAAATCAATTCTTTCTTCAAGTTTCATCAATGTAAAACGAATATACTTAATCTAGAGTCAACTGATTAAGAAGAGGGATGAACGTAGTTTAGTTGGGGGCAAGTAAGACGCCGACTCTTTACCAAGTCTAAAAATTCCTGTATATCCTACTAATTAAAAAGATTATACCTGATGATATGGTTTTTAATCGTTTACTCACGTCGTGTAATTTGTCAGTTTGAAAAGTGGCGTTTATGATCATTATTCTCTCATCCACTCACCGATGTATAAAATATTGCATCGACAATCTTTAGCAAGTGAATTAACAACTAAGTCTAGCTATCAAATGACATTGATATTAGCTCAGTTGACCTTTTAGAAATAAGCATATATCAAACTATTGTAAACAAGTTGCAGAGTAAGGTTTATTGGTTATGAGATTTTGAGATGGGATTGATGATTTGTGAGTCTATCCAACGTCTCCTTATATAGGAGTTACGAAATCTTAGTCCCCAATCCAACAACATTTCGGATTGCATTTTACAACAAATAATTGTATTGCACTTGATAGACATTACACTGCAAGTTATAAAACCAATTATTTTCCTTAAATATTGAAGATTTCAATGTCACAATCCTCGGTTTGTTTTAGACTTTTAGTCAAAAGACACGAGGAAATATATGATCCCATCAGGAGAAACCCATACTATAAACCAAGAACGCTGTTTTTTGGGTTTTCCGATTTTATTCGATAAAACAACAAAAATGTATCATCGCTAGTTTAGCCGACGCGGGTAACTGCAGCATGTATAGCATCAACCAGGTGAGGCACTGTCTTCGAACTGAGACCTGCCATGCTTATTCTCCTGCAATACACAAGATGCCCCTTCTCATCAGTTTCAAGCTCAGAATCTTCATCAACTTAAAACTCTGGTTATACCATATTATCTAGTATTTTCTATTCTCCTTTGTTTCATGCAACTATAATCTCAATAACAAGAGTGTGAATTTCAGATATATCGCTTTCTCAGAACTTCTAAGCAACTATCTTGGTTCACATACCTAAGAACATGATGAAAAGCGTGACTTAGTTGTAAATATATATGGTTATTACTGCTAACTCTCTTAGAACTATCGTTGTTTAATTAATATAGTTCCAGAACAGAAGATACTCATGGTTCTAGGAGTTGGAGAAACCAAACTCTCTCGTATGCCTAAAAAAAGCGAAAATAAATGATGGAATATAAGTTGGCCTCACCCGTCAGATGTCATGTAAATGTGAAACTCTTTGGTCATGAAGGCAACTTGCTCCTTGTTCAATCCGGTAAAAGTAAACATTCCAATCTGTTTGATAATGTGACTCCAATCACCAGGTGTGCCTGCAAGCCAGACAACGTGTCAAGAACAAAAAGTTGCAGAGTAGGACTTACTCATGATTCTGCAAACCCGGAAAAGATGATAAAAAGGAATGAAAAAGAGAGAAAACAAGCATTTAAAATGAACCTTTTGCCTGTAGAGCTTCAAATAACTGTTTGCGCATGCTAATTATGCGGTCAGCCATTCCTTTCAACTCGATGGTCCAGTCGTTGTACATTTCACTGTCAAGATGTATACAAAGAAAATTTAGCAACATGGAGCAGAACCTTATTTCATAAAGAGACTCCTTATAAGCTTTTATAATACAATGGAAAATGTTAGTGATTTATGCAAGATTCCACAGGGTATGAAACTTGGTATAACCATAAACTATCTAATTGCTGCATGTGGAGGAAACGTAGAGAATTCTGTTTCCACTTGTCTATTAATTCAGAAAATTGTAAAGCTCCCATTCTAGTATATATTTCTGCAATCTAGTATAAGTGTACTTCTACTTCATTAACTGGATTTAAAGGTCTCTCGCCCTACCAAAAATATTCAGAAGTATGTAACTGTAAACTAAATCATGGATTTCGTAGTTCTGCTCTCCCCTTACAGCATAAAAATTTACCTGCTTTTCAAAATGGTTGCAACAATTGATGCTCCATGAATAGGTGGGCTTGAATACATGGGTCGCACAACAAGTTTCACCTGGCTTTCAACCTTACTAGCCACATCTGCAGACTTGCAGACCTTCACATACATAAGATAAAAAAAAAAAAAATTAGATGCGCTTTTTGAATAATGCATTCTTGTACCATACCATTACTATTTAACTATGCGAGGATAAATAGCAAAGCCAAAGAAAGATGAACAGATATCAGGTCATAAATATGCAGCCTAAAGTGTGATAGGTACAAATAATTAGTAGGCATGCAATTGTGAAGCATCTGATACCTGCATGATTCAACTCTTCTGAAGAAAAGATGCGAAAATATGTCTAAAGATAATGTCAAATAGATAGCAAATATGAAACTGAGAAGTTATATTCCTTACAATGCTAAGGGCACCAACACGCTCTCCATAAAGTCCCATATTTTTGGCATAACTTTGAGCTATCAGGCATTCACCGCCATCAGCCACAAAGGTACGGACTGAGTGTGCATCTGTGTCAAGGCTACCACTAGCAAATCCCTGAAATTGTGTAAGGAAAAAGGAGTCAGGGTATTCTTTTTCTACATCAGATCAGATTCAAACTCAGACTATATGAGTTTCATGAGTTTGTAAGCAACCGTAACAAAGCAAACAAAGCAAGACTACTTGTATGAGTTACCTGATATGCGCTATCAAAAAAGGGTAATAAGCTTTTAGATCTCATTAGTTGTCGAATCTGTTCCCACTGTTCGGATGTTGGGTCAACTCCAGTGGGATTGTGTGCACATGCATGAAGTAAGACAATAGCTCCAGATGGTGCACCGCCAAGATCCTCAAGCAAGCCTGTTTATTTTTTTTAATTTTTTTACATAAGTGTCAAATCTATATCAAATGCCTTTTGTGAAATATCATGTTGACAGAATCCAATCTTGAGATGTAACAATGTAAGAATATGATCAGTACACTTTTACGAAATATTTCCATTTGTAGGTATATCAAGGAAAACGTAGGAAAAAGTACAGGGAATGGATAAATCAAGCAATAATCATGGCATAATTAAACAAAAACCAACCTTGGAAGTCAAGTCCACGGGTTGCAGGATCATAGTAACGGTAGTACTCCACAGACAAGCCAGCCAGGTTGAAAACTTTGGGATGGTTCCCCCAAGTTGGTTTTGGAATGTAAATGACACTCTGGAAGAATGAGAACCACGGTAAGCAACGGTTCTTCGATCACCTAATTCAGTGACCATCAAAATTAATAAGCGAGAAGTTTTTACCTGGTGGTAGTGTTTTTTAAGAAACTCAGCCCCAACTCTCAATGAACCAGTACCAGACAAGCACTGGATTGTAGCAACTCTACTCTCTTGAATCGCAGGACTGCCCAACAAAACAAGAATGTTTAGAAAAATATCATGCACTATGACCTACAGGGGATATCATGTCACAAGAGCTACAATCAGAAACAAACAGAACATAAATTAAACATTAAAAAAAGGATGACAAAAATCAACAGGAGACATATATTACCTATCACCACCTAAGATGAGCTTGGCGCTTAGTTTGTTAAAATCAGCAAGTCCAACAATGGGAATATATTCCTTTACCCGAGATCTGAGTAGAGAGAAAAGATATAGGTATTAGCAAAACAAGAACAAGAAGAGAAAACTCACACGACGAAGTAAATGATGATCAACTCACGGGTCGTTCACTAGCTGTTGTTCTGCTCTTCGAACCACGTCAAGAACGAGAGGCTTCCCTTCCTATGAAAACCAAAGCTTTTAAAATGGCTATTGCGATCATAGAGATGCTGACAGAAAATAGGCAAAAAACAGAGAAAAACTATACCTCAGTTCGGTAGGCACCGACACCCAAATTGATCTTGGCTGGACTCGGATCATTGTTGTAAGCAACAGTTACCTGTTTTCAAAATCAGACAAACTCAATAACTTCATTGATCACAGAGACTAATCAGCAGATCATCGATCAATATGTCTAAAAATATAATTTCCCAGGTACCAATGAGAATCTTATCCAAACGAGTTATGGTACGAACACAATATGGATCAAAAAAAAAAAAGAGATGCACTAAAATTCACAAAGGAATAGTGGGCAATCAGATTTAATAGCCATAAAACCACGATTACGGAACATCGAAATGGATCGAAGTAAAGACGAATTGAAAATCAACCAAAACGCAAAAAAAAAAGAAGGTAAGATCGATCAAGAGCCTAAAAGTGAAGAGTGACGTACACCGAGAATAGGATCTTCGGGAGCACGATCGACTTTTGAGAAGACGGAGTCCATTAGAGAAGTATTGAAAATCAAGGCAAGGGAAGAGATGAAAGAGAGGTTTCACTAATGGCGTCGCCTTTTCTCACAAAGCTTTTGAGTATCAAAATTAGCTGTGTGCTGTAATGCGCAACTGTGAGTCTGTGGGCACAAAAACGATACCAGAACTTGTTCACCAAGCCGAGAATTTTACTCTTTTTTTTCTTTCTAATTTTAAAGTCATTAAGTTTACTTTCCTTTTACTATTTTGAAATCTACCAAAGTGAATATCTTACGAAATATTGTAAATTTTTTCTTCCTCTTCTTTGTTCAATGTATGTTTTCCATTTTTTCCTAGAATCTATGATTTCTAGGACCAGTTCGAATCTATCTACCTTTCCCCATGAATTCTAAAAATATCATGAACACATCATCGAACAACTAGAGCTCCTTAATACCTGAATGAATCGATTTCTCTTATTTGACATCAGAGCCATGTTTGCTAAACAGTAGACTTGGCGAGATTTTCAATACTATTTTAGACACTGTTTGTACATGATTCTGTAATTACAAATAGCTCACACAAGTTTTGTATTATCTACAAACTGGTACAGCTCTGCAGTTATCTGCATAGCCCAGTCAATGGTTGAATCAAGGAAGAGCTCCCAAAAGCAGAGATCCAGTGCAAGGACCGATGAAAAAATCAGCAATGCTAAGGTTTGGTACCGGTTTAGTGGCCAGCGCAAAGCATCGGCTACTTTCCTGAGAATCGGAAACGAACTAGTCTCCAAGTCCATTGGATTTCTGATGGACCAGGCTGTTACCCATCTTACCTCACTAGGAACAAGATCAAACTCTTCTCGAAGTCGTCTTCCCAAGTCAGGCATGTGGCCTCCGCCATAAAGAATTCCGATTCTTTTGTGCCCTTGGTCCATTGCTCTTCTTAAAGCTTCAGTAGCTGCTCGGTTTCTCTCCCCAATGATGACAGATTTCTCCTCGATATCCGATGTCCCTTGTGTTAGCCTTCACAAAAATATACCAAAATACAATTGTTAACTTCTCACTAGCTAACATATCTTTGCATGCCCTTTAAATGAGAATAAATCTACTCTGCCTAGCCCTATCTTTGGAGCAGATACACACAATTCAAAAAGAAAAGAGAATGTGTGTCAAGTATAGCACATATCCCCAGATTCAAGATCAGGAATGTGCAGATGAGTTATAGACAGAAAAAAACCTTTATTTATAAGAGTGCTTACTCGGATGTCAATCTCTTAGCAAGGAAGACCTTCATAGCAGCTCCAAAGTCAAGCCTTGAAAGTGCTTCCAGTTCTGGATAGTCTTCCGTCTGGTTTCCAAAGTCAGCACAGAAAGCCCCAATAAGGAAAAGACCCACAAGAGGCATAGGGAAAACCCGTGAAACCCATAGAAGCTTTGACCTCCAAGTATCAAGACCTTCAGTTATCAAAGCTGGCTGTATCATTGCTTTCGTTGATCTAATAGTCATGTCCCTGGCAAATGAGTAGAAGCTTTCCCCTTTCTCTCTCTGTACCAAATACGAAACAGCACCAATGAGAAGATTGATCAGACATCATTCAACTGATCGTCTGCATTCTAGAACCAATTAAGTAAAAAAAAAACGTTTCTCATTTACCCAAATCCACAACCATGATACGGCCAATGCAAAAAAACTCAAAAGTGATTCTATCAAGAAGAAACTTGTAGATAGTTTTTGGGGACAAACCTGAAGCAATGTGAATGTCTCGAAATCGAGATCAGCATGGTACCAATTCTTAGCTTCGTAATCTAGACAGTCAAGCTGAAAATCAAGCGTTAGTACCCTTGCCATCTGCCGCTGAATGAACCCGAGAATACTGAAGCCTCTTGAACGTGAAGTCTTGAGCCTCTTGGCTGCAATTGGGTTTCTTCTGTTTTCCAATGTCTCTTTACTAGCCACCATCTCATACAAGATAGAATCATATGGTTCAAGCTCCTTTTGAAGTGTTGCGAAGTACCTACAGACCCGAACCCAAACCACACATCAAAACCATATCGTTACAAGAAACTAATCAAAACCTTATAAATGGTACTCGATGAACCTATTAGAGGAAGCAACACAATTCGACTAAATTTTCATCTTTCCTTGAAGAAAACTCCAACCACAATTTCCTTAACTAAATTTATAACCGAAAAAAGCTACATAAAAAGCAAATTAAGAGGATAGAAGAAAAAGCTCACTCTTTATCTGCAATATGAATCGTTGAGACCAAATCTACCTGCAATACAGAGATGACATCGAAATTATGTTACCACGCCACGATTAATGTGGAAACCCGCAAGTAAAAATGCGTTACCTGAAGAAAAGGGTTGAGGAGAATCCAAGGGAATCGTTTCTTGTAAGTGACGATTGCGGTCTGCAATTCGCTGGAGCCATTGTTTCCGGCGTAGGGGCGGCGCTTGAATCGCATGTAATCAGCGATTGAATTGGATTCGAGAAAGAGTGCGGCGTCGGATGCATCGTCGTCAGCCGATTGATTCAGTGAGAAGGAGACAAGCAGCTGAGGACAACGGGGATTTGAGTGTTTCGATTTGGGTAGGTTCCAGAAGCGGACGAGCTTCGAGGTTGAGTAAGAAGAAGAAGAAGATCTATCCGTTGTGGAGCTATAATTAAGCAAAGGAGTGACGGCGAACGCGCTTGCCGCCATGGTTGCTCGCTTTTCCTTTTAGATTGAGAAGAAGTGAAGAAGATATTTCGCCATTTTCCAACCAGAGGTAGTTTACACGTTTCTTTTTCGGAAATTGGATAATAGTAATACAAACAAAAAGAAAATAAAAAAAAGGAAAAAAAAATCTTCTTCATTTACACGTTAGTATTTTGAAACCGAGTTTATTACACAAGCTATTTAAGTGTTTGAAAACTAATTTTTGTATGGTGTTGAAAACTAATTTAGGTGTTCAATTTGATGTTATAGCAACAAGACAAGAGTTATTTAGGTGTTTGAAAACTATTTTTTTATGGTATGGAAAGTACCCTAAACTCTCTCAGCTCCTTTCCACCATAGCATCTCTTTAGAATGATAACGTATATGTTTTTACATATTCATTTTTTCTGACACCTTTCTCTTTCATCAACTTTAATTCAAATTATTTTCGCTGGGACTTTATAGTCAAGCTTAAGTCTTTGAAATTCAATGAATTTCAAAATACTGCTACCACACCCATATCCTCTTTTCTTTTATTTCGGCGACTATCCATCTTTGTTTCGCCGTTCCCGTCAAGATCAACCGGAGTTTGACAAGGTGAGTCTTTATACCATTACCACCGTTTAAAGCTCCGAACATGATGGACAAATCTTGTGAACCACTGCCTTTTTCTTCCACAGCGAATATTGAAAGGTACATGTTCAGTCATTGACACATCTACTTCTACTCTGTTATTGTTTCATAATTTGAATGTTATCTGATTGTAGTGACAGTTATCCGCATATATCGTCGTTAATTTCCAAGATCTAGAATTGTTTATTTTTCTCAGCTAGATCTCTCGTTATTCTTTCTCTTTCTGGACACATAAACGTTTTTTTATAGGCAATTTCTCGTGATTCATGATTTTTGTATTTTTTAACCAGCCCACTCCCATTCTCATCCGTCATCCAGATCTACGCTTTCAGATCTGAGTAGTCGACTACTGTCTATAGTCAACTACATTTGAACTACATAACTAGCTTAGTAGGCGACCATTTATTCGGTAGCTAACTATTCGTTGATATGTGTTTGAAGGGCTATGTTGTCCCAAGTACATCCCGATCTGGTACCTGGCAAATGATGTCCTTCCGCAGATTCGCGATGCAGTCTACGATTTTAAAAATTTTCTTTCAGTAGTTAACTATATACATCGTCACTAGTAATGGTCTACTCGCAACGTCTATAACCGATTCAATATAAAGCTACATATTCAGTTAGTCTACATTACTACTAGACAGGAATAATCAACTACTCATATGAATAACAATAGTTATTTACATCACATTGGTAGTCAGTTTACAGTAGCTAACTATTTGACTTTTTGTTTGTTTCAAGGGATAGGTGTACTCTTCGACAATCCGAACCCACACCGTTTGCAAATAATGTGCTTCTCCAGATTAGTGATGCACTCATTGATATTTTTGAAAGAGTTGGTCGGAAATCTGCCGAAGATGCTTGTTCATTTGCTTGTTCATGTAAATTTCTGACAGTTCCATCATCTTTTTCGTTGTTATCGATATCTGGTTCTCTTTATTTTGTAGATCTAGAGAAGTTAACTATTTTTATATGCATACTGAGTAAGTAGTAACTACATTGAATATGGTCATTAGTAATTGCCTACTCTTATCATCTATAACATATACAATAAATAACTACTCCATATTCAGTTAGTCTACATAACTATTATGCACATATAACCAATTACTAATATAATTATCGGTAGTTCACTACGTTATAACAGTAATCAGTTTACAATAGCTAACTTTTTGCCATTTTCCTTTGTAGGGATATGTGTTCTCTTCGACAATGTGAACCCACACCGTTTGCAAATAATGTGCTTCTTTAGATTCGCAATGCACTCGTTAATGTCTTTGTAAGGGTTGCTAGAGAATCTGCAGAAGATGTGTTCATTTGCTTGTTCATGTAAGGTTTTAAACCAAACATTCAAGGAACCATCTCTCATCAAGGCGCTCAACCTATTTGCCTTCATTAAACGTCTCAACTTAATGAAGTGCTACCCTGAATTCTTTGAGTCAGCGAAAATGGATAACTACCAATAATCAAATTTTAGAAGTAGCTATCTAATCGAAATAGACAATTATTAATACTTACTTTTAAGTATTAGAATCAACTTTGAGTTGTATGGAGAAAATAGACAACTACTAATAATCGACTTGGAGTACTACCTATTTAATCGAAATATGTTACAAACTAGTCAACATCTCTGTGTCATTCAAACGAACCTTCATTTTAAACATAGTCACCTACTAATCGTTGTCTACTAGAAATCTGAACACAACAAACAAAAGAATTAGAATTAAAAGGGACGTTTATACTGAAGTGATAGATGACTAATTGGTATATGTCTATTTACTTTCAACTTGGTGCAACTATAAAAAGTATCGTCCATAATGTTTCACACTTTCGGAGTGAGAGAATGTTTGTCTGATGGGCATGCAGATTTTTTTTGAAAATAATTGTCTACTACATATCCACATACTCTTCGCTAATGTTTTTCTATGAAAATAGTCAACTATGGCTATAGAGTTACCATTGTTAGAGCTGTAAATTGGTCGGGCTGACCATGGGCGTGGCCCAATTCATAGCTTTATGGTCGGACTAAACAAAGGCCCAACACAGATATGGTCCTCTTGGGCCTACGCCCGACGAAACCGCGGTCCAAATCGGGTTAGACCCGCGGTCAGTTTGGTCACGCCCAAGTTTTTTTTTTCTTCGATATCTTTGATTTCTTCGATTTCGTCGATCTCTCCTTCACCGATTTCTTCGATTTCGTCGACCTGGGTTTAGCAAGTTTTTTGTTGTGGGTTTTTTCGATTTTGTCGATCTCTCCTTCACCTCTCTCTCTGCGGCGAGAATCAGGTTATCAGGTAAAGTTTCTGTTTTTGTTCCCTTTTCCATCTTTCCTTCTTCTGGGCTTTTGTTCAAATGATTTCTCAATGTCTTGTTTCAGCTTGAAAGTGTTGTTTTACGAATGGATCTGTTAATGTCAGAACAGATCAATTTGTTTTAGTTTCTCTTGTGGCGATGCTTCCTCTTTGGTCAATTTGGATGAATTCGTTAGATTAGATTAGAAATGCTTATCTGCTTGGAAATGACTGGTGATTTGATTCATAGAATTGTTTCATATTATTGTTTTTGGTATGCAACATGAATCATTTTGGCTGATTGCAACATGAATTGTTTCACATTATTGCTCATCATCTGATTGCGTTCTTCCATAGTTGTAGAAGAAAAGCTTTTGTGAATTTTCATTTCATACTGAAAAAGCTTTGTTCTGACAATGTCTAAGCTAGAGCCCGTTTGTTAATGCATTGCTCTAACACTGGATTGAGTTTTGTGTCTACTTTTGTTGATTTGTTTTCTGTACTAAACTGTGGTATGTTCTTGTTGCTTATATGGGTTCTTACAAATCTATCTTCTTCTTGTTTTGTTGTTTCAACAGAATGGAAGATATAAGATTGAATGATGAAGACAGTTGTTTCATGGATACTGAAATGGATCATCAAGTGGTGGATGAAGATACCGAACCTCCAGAAAATTTAGAGAAAAATGAAGGTACACGAAAAACCAGAGCTCATTCTAGTCGTAGAGTATCTAAGTGCTGGAAAAAGTTTACCATAATAGGTGGTAAACTACCTGATGGAAAGTATGACGTTAGGTGCAATTATTGCAAGAAGCATTACTTTTTAGATCTTCACAGAAATGGAACCACCACTCTACTTAGGCATATGAGAGTTTGTGCTAAAACCCCTGGAAGTACCCCTAGAAGCTCTCGGAAATTGGATATGGATGTCTTCCGGGAAATGATAGCAATGGCTATTATTGAACATGACTTGCCATATTCTTTTGTTGAGTACAAAAGAATCAGAATGGCTTTCACTTATGCTAATTCTACTATTCAGTTTTGGAGTAGAAATACAGCAGCTTCTGATGTTTTAAGCATCTATGAGAAAGAGAAACAGAAACTTAAGAAAGTCTTGTCTGATATTTCGAATAGGGTGTCTTTAACAACTGACCTTTGGAGGGCCATTACCATAGAAGGATATCTTTGTTTAACCGTTCATTACATTGATTCTGACTGGAAACTGAAGACGAAGATTCTTTCTTTCTCTTCTCTGCATTTCCTCCTCCACACACAGGAATAGCTATTTCGATGAGACTGATTGAATTGCTAAAAGAATGGGGTTTAGAAAAGAAAGTCTTCTGTCTGACTGTAGATAATGCTTCTTCTAATGATTCTATGCAAAGCATTATGAAAAGGCAACTTCAGAAAGATCTAGTATGCAATGGAGAGTTCTTCCATGTCCGGTGTTCAGCACACATTCTAAATCTTATTGTGCAAGTTGGATTGTCAGTGATTGGTGAAGCTCTGCACAAGATTAGAGAGAGTGTGAAGTTTATAAAAGGGTCTGAAAGCAGAGAGATTATGTTTCAGAACTGCATGGAAACGGTTGGAATTCAAGGCAAAGAAAGTCTTGTTTTGGATGTTGCTACACGCTGGAACTCAACACATCTCATGCTAGTTAGAGCTTTAAAGTTCAAAGATGCTTTAGGTAACCTTGCTGATGTAGAACCAAGTTATACAAGTTGTCCAAGTGCTTTAGAGTGGAGCAGAGCAGAACTGATAGCTGACTTCTTGAACCCATTTTCTGAAATGACGAAGCTTATTTCCAGCTCTTCATACCCGACTGAAAATTTGTACTTTATACAGGTTTGGAAGATAGAAAACTGGTTGAGAGCTCATGAACTGTCTACTGATGGGATTATTTCTGATATGGTGGAAGTTATGCAAGAGAAATTTGACAAATATTGGGAAGAGTACAGTGACACCTCCCAAGACACCTGCTGCAAAGTTTTGCCGCATTCCTCAAATTTCTTCTGTGTCAGCAAACGAATTAGATCAACCTCATTTCTACAACAAAGTAGTCAGCTATGACTAATAATAAAAAAGCTGACTATGTTACAAACACTAAATAGTTGAGTACGTTACCTTCAT